TGGGCACAACCGACAGAAACTTTGTCACAATCCCTGGATCGTTCTTGGTGTTTGTCTCAGAATTTCTACTCGGACATTCATGAGGAACTGGCAGTGTTCGCTTGAGGTGTGGGGATTTAGTACATAAATACAATTTTTTTGAAACCCATTGTGTAAAGTCTTGTGTGTATTTGCCCAAGGTCCTGTTCTTCCTGCTGATCGATGGCTACTCCATTGATATTGAATGGTTTCGACCTGGCAAGGAGATCAGTTTTGGTTAAACGTTTTGGCGCAAAGGAAAAGCTCATAGCTTCGTGACATCTCCCAAGCTGAGAAACTTGTCAAGATTAATGACTTGGTGAAGATTGAGTAGATTGAGTCTGAGACAGTTCGGGTTCAGTTGGTAGATCAGTTTCTGCAGTGTGGTGCAGCGGCGCGGCGTGGTGTGCGGTGCAGGATCAGCTCGTTACTTTGATCTTCCTTGGATACATCGCACTGAGCTCAGAGTGGAGCCCTCCAAACAAACAATACCTGAATGAATTGCACCCATCAAACACTACCTCAAACACTGCATCCAAGCATTAATTGTAACACTCCATCCCACTATTTTAGTTTTTCTGAAATCTTTTAAATTGGGCTTGAGAAAAAATCATGCCATTATGGACACGTATCCCGTGTTTGCCGGTATTTTGGATATGTGGAACAGGAACGAACAAGACGCACTATGATGCATTATGATGCATTATGATGCATTATGATGCATTATGATGCATTATGATGCATTATGATGCATCATGATTATGATGGAATGATGGTTGAACAAAATGTAGCAGCTGAAACATAGGAATTTGCTCGTAGGGTTTTAATATGTTTTAATGGGTTTTAGGGTTTTGCCATGTTCGCATTGTAGTTTCCGAGGCCTTGATCTATTTTGTTCTTCTGAACATCTTCGTAGCCATCGTGCTGGATACATTCTCCTTGGCTTCACGTCTCTATGCCGTGGAGGCTGACAAGAAGAATCCAATGATCGCAGCTTGAACAGATTTGAACAGCTTCAGGAGTTTGAACATATTTTGTGGCAAATGCAGCAAACACACCTTTTGATTAAATGGGGTCCAGAGATATCTAGATATGCTTGGGTTTTCAGCTAGTGTCACTTTCCGGAGGTATTTCTGCATACTTATTGGAATTGGATGAAGGGTCAGTCTTTGGTCAAAGACGAGTCGGAAGAGCACATGAATCCAAAGGCTGGCATTTGCAGAAACCACAGCAGCTTGTTGAAGTGTTTTGGATGTGCGGTTATAATACTGGAAGAGAACTGTCCCAGACCGTTCAACTTCACTTGTGTAGGATCTTTCAATCACTCTGGACTTGTTGCCCGGTCTTGTCCGTCGTAAATGGGTGGAGAAGAAGCGAAGGCAGGGCAGCAAACTGAAAAAAACGGAGGAAACCTTGTCGTTTTTTTTCAAGGCCCTGAGCCTTTCTGTACGCAGGATGCAAAGAGTCGCAGACCAGAACTTCGCTGGAATGGACCTTTTTCCGGAGGCAGCAAGCAAAGGTACATAAAGGTACCAAAGGCTTTGCGAACTATTGCGAACTTTGCACAGTTTGAAGCCCCGGAACATTATAGACAAGTCCTTTTGCTACTATGATGCAGGACGTAGACCGGTCGCTGTCCAAGAAAAGAGCAGATCAGATGATCACAGCAGCTTGGATCAAAGATGAGACTGTGCAAAAACTTCGATTCTTTGTGATATTCTCATTGAATCTCATTGAATTTCCAGGATCTTTACTGATCTTTACAGAATTCTGAGGATTGGATGCTCCCTAGCACGCAGACCGATGTCTTTGACCAGATGACAGCACCAGTTGAGCACAAGTGTCCAAAATGCAAAAAGGATCAGAAAAACAAAAAGAAACCAATGAAGAAATTCGAAGAAATGGCACACGCTGGCTTTTCTATGTTTTCTGCCATGGTGACTGCAGTGCTGAGTACTTGGAACTGAAGGCCCCTGGCGTTGTACGAGGTTCCGGACACAATAATGACCCAGGCGACTCAAATACATGTCCTGTTTTCCGACAGCTTTCATCATCTCTTTCCTCGTTTTTCTTGATTTTGATTCAATGCTGCCAAACTGATTTTTGGTGGAAGGAAATCAGCCGAGCTCAACTACAGCGCTTGATGGACGAAGCTGGAAACCGAGCAAAGAGTTTTCACGACATTTGAGTGTAATACGCAGAAAGACCCGAAGACAAATGAGTGGAGCTAATCATTGAGGAAGCTTTAGACATGAGTGTAAATGTCGGAAGATGAAGAAAGAGCAAGTGTTCAGACGTAATTACTCTATTGGAGATGGAGTATAGTTCTGAATGTGTCTGTAAGGATTCCACAATTCCTCTTCTTCTTGGTAGCAAGCGCGCGGTGGACGTGATCCGAAAGTTCAAGTCTGTTGAAAAAGAGGAGGCGAGAACTGCAAGAGCAGCTAGGGCAACAAAGCACCGATGTTCTATCGCAGCAGCAGCGAAGGCTTCGTTGATGGTCTTGATATAGGCTGTCCTCATGGAACAGTGTGGCATGGTTTCCCTTCAGGAGAGTGGCCAGCCTGTGAGTGCCGTCAAGGCTATGCAGGCCAAAGTGCGGCCAAAGAATTGGCAAACTTTGCTGTGATCTTTGTGTAGTTTTAGCCTTTTAGCTTTGTTCGCTTTGTTTTCGCATGTTTTCGCTTTGTTCGCGTCCACCTTTGCTTGGCAAACTTTGGCAAACTTTGTCACGCAGCAGTGCCATTCTGTGGCCTCCAGGGAACCATCTTTGGTCGGATCGACAAATTGGAGTTTGGAACTTAGCCGAGCTTAGCGAAGAATCCTTGGAAGCTTCTTGGAAGCTTCTTGGAAGCTTCTTGTGTTGGAAAAGAAGCTACTTGCCTTTTAGATTGTTCGATGTTGATGTCCATTGCCGGTTTTCACTTTGGTGACAGGAGAGTCAAGCTGGATGATGACGTACCTGAGGCCAATCAAACAGATTGAGACGAGTAGAGATTGAATGGGATCTGACAACAAGCTAACTGGTGAAAGGAAGAGTTGAACAGTGCAGGCATTGTGGTTTAAACCCTGCAATCTGCAAGAGAGATTCAATTCGCATTGACTGGGTGTTTGTGCTATACCTGTTGGCCTGTTGGACGTCATGAGATGCAAGGTTCAGGGAGTGAGTGGAGCTCTGAGATGAAATATGCCAATATTTGTTTCTTTTTGTTTTTGGAATCTTCTCATTGAAACCTTACACAAAACTTGAAAAGGAGCAGAAATGTAGAACCCCACTTTAAATGCACAGAAAACATACCATCCTCCGTTTGCAACATATTGCTGGAACATATTAGAGCAACCCGCCTGGACGGAAAGTGCGAGTTGCTGCTTTTTGCAACAAGAACACATTCCTTCGTCTTCTTCCTTCTTCCATACCGCTTCTAAACTGATGGCATGGAATTAGCAGAAGCAATCTATCATAATCATTCAATATCATTCATAATCTATCTACTCTGCCCCACTGTCAACTTTGCCTTGTTGAAACTTGTTGATGTGCTTAGTTTCTGGTCAACCACTTTATGGGACGAGTGACAGACCGAGTTTTTCTCCATGTTCATTTTGCCTGCTGCACCTGCTGCTGCTGCTGCTGCAAGTCCTGGTAGAGACTGTAAGATATTGTAAGACTGTAGAGGCTGTCGTTTTTTTGTGAGAAATTATGGAGCCCTTGTGGTGGGTTGAGTTGAGACCCTGAAAGGTTGACTGACAGCCAGGTTCCTGAAATGACTCAGATAGCTGAGCAGATGAGCGGCGCCATCCTCGACCTCAGGCCACTCAAGACATTGATTGAAAGCAATGCACTCTACAAGGGCTCTTGCCATAGGAATTCTTCACGATTGTTTGTCCAGGCTTTTTCCATTGCGGAATTCTGGTGTCAATTCTCGTGATGGTCAATTCCTGTGCTACTTACCCTTTCCATCCCTTTCCTTTCCACCATTTTACCCCTCCTCTGTGGCACCTGCACCCCTCTAGCGATGCACGGACAGGAACCAGTTCCGAGTGCAACTCACTGGTGTCATCGAATGCACAGCTGTGCTCTTCGAGCACCTGGTTGAGCTAACGCAAGGTCTTGACGAGGCCAAGCCGTTGTGGAACTTGTGAAGGTTTTGCCTTGTGGAACTTGTTGTGGAACTTGTTGTGGAACTTGTTGTGGAACTTGTTGTGGAACTTGTTGTGGAACTTGTGACATCATGTCATCATTCAAAACAAGTTAGGCTGAACTGAGCTGCGCTGAGCTACCGTAAAGCATGTCCTCGTAGAGTGACAATCTTTGTTTACAAACCAGTGATAAGCAGAAGATTAGAACCCAAAGAGAGTCATCTTTGGCGCGGATGTGGCTTTTATGTTGGGCAGCTAAACTACAGTTCTTTGTTGTGCACATTGTGATTTGTTGCAAATGCTATGCACCCATATATACTCCCCCTCCTTTTACCGTAGCGCAAAAAAAACATAAATTATTTTTTTTCTTCCACGTTAACTAAAGTGACAATTCGGAGGTTTACTTCCATGTTAGTTGCAATGGGGGGGGGTAAACTGCAAATTTGTGTTCTTTGGATCTGAGCCCTTTTCTTTTTTTTGGCTAGTTCTTTTTGCCACGAGTTCCCCGGGAATCCTGGGCATTTGTTGATTAACGTAGAAATTTTGATTTTTTCAAGATAAAGCTGGGAATGCCTCCATTTTTTAACAACCAACGATTGGAACGGATAACTTACATAGAAATTTGCTACTTGAAGTAGGATGTGGGCAGTGCCATGTTAGCGAGCGCTCGGTCCTCCTTTTACCGTAGTGCAAAAAAAAATCCACGTTAACTAAAGTGACAATTCGGAGGTTTACTTCCATGTTAGTTGCAGGGGGGGGGGTAAACTGCAAATTTGTGTTCTTTGGATCTGAGCCCTTTTTTTTTGGCTAGTTCTTTTTGCCACGAATTCCCCGGGAATCCTGGGCATTTGTTGATTAACGTAGAAATTTTGTTTTTTTCAAGATAAAGCTGGGAATGCCTCCATTTCTTAACAACCAACGATTGAAACGGATAACTTACATAGAAATTTGCTACTTGAAGTAGGATGTGGGAAGTGCCATGTTAGCGAGCACCAATTTGGCACCATTGATTTCGAAAGGTTGCATCCTCAATCGCTCGGACATGACAGGGGTGATAAGATAGATGGAAGAAAAAAATGATGTGGCGGTCAGTCTGGGGGTTTTAGGGATCGCCCTAGAAGGATGTATTCAACATGAGGGGAGAACATGTTAACATAGAAGGTGCCAACCTGATGCCTGGACCCTCAAGTTACTTCCACGTAAGGGTTTTTAGTCTCAGTTTTCACGCTTCCATGATGAATATGTTACTGACATATCTGATGAGCTACTTCCATGTAAGAGATTCACGGTCAGTTTTTCTGCATTTGCTGGCCCGGTAGCCCAGTTTCACTTTTTCCCCAGGAATTGGACGTAAACGACTTCCATGTAAACCGACAGGTTTTTCCATCCTGACTTCCACGGTAAAAGGACCCGGTGTATATATATATATATAATACTGATAGATAGATGGATGGATGGATGAATGGATGGATGGATTGATGGATGGATGGATAGATAGATAGACAGATAGATAGATAGGCTCGGGTCAAAATTTGTTGTTGAATGTTGTTGAACTCCTATCATTTGAAGCTTTCGACACTAGCTTTGCAGAGTTCAGTACCAATGACATTGCAAAGGTTTTGTTGTCCTTACAGACTCTTACAATTGGGTTTGAATTTCGTTTGCTCTTTGTGGATGATGGCCAAGTGTTTGCTCTTTCTGGATGATGGCCAATACCTGTAGAGCTGCTGCTGCTGCTGCTGCTGGTTCTGGTTCTGGTTCTTGTTCTTTCTCCTGTTCTTGTTGTTCTTCTTCTTCTTCTTCCTGTTGTTGTTGTTGTTGTTGTTGTTCTTGTGGTGTTTTGGTCTTGGTTCTGGTTGTGGTCGTGTCTGCAGGTTCGGCAGAACAGTGACGGTGTGATTCGCTTGGTCCGGAGCAATCAGATTGGAGACACTGGCTATGGTCTTTGAAATGGTGCTTAGAGGCTGCATTGAGACTTTGTCCATCTTTGTCCAAGTTTCCCTGTGCAGTACCTGCAGTCTCTCAAATTGGATCGGGTTTCAGTCTGAATTCAGAGTTTCACCTCAGCGAATCTGTCAGTTGAGCGGTTCAATCGCCACTCAACGCTGAAAGGGTTCATGATAATGTCTCAGGAATGTCTCAGGCCTAGGGGCCAATGTACAGTGAACAAAACATGTATATTTGAAGGTGTGAGGACATTTTGATGAAGGAAGGTGCCAAGCGCCATCCGCCGATGTTCTACACGTTTGATTTTTTTACCTTGCTGGACCCGTTGAGCTATGAACATCGTAGAGACGGTGAAAACCCCTGTCTTGTCGTCCCATTTTGTGGAAACATGGTTACAGCAAGCATAGTCTCACTGCTCTGAGAATGAAGTCGCATTTTGTAGTTTGGATGGTCATCAAACTCCATTTGGTACACATCATGTCTGTGGACTTCATTGACGAGGTCTCACAAGCTTTGACCCATGCTCCGCTCGGGCCAACGGAAAAAGAATTTGTGTATCCTGACGATGCGACAGACCAGCTGTGCGAAACAGAGCCAACACTTGTTCAAAACAAGCACTTGGAATATATGGACAACAGATTAGCAATCACCAACACAATACTTATAGAAACACTGATAGCAATGGACTTGACATTCAGGAAAGCTTTGAGTCGTGCAGAAATGCCAGCTTGCAGTGCTACAAGCGAGTTGAGGTGGGGTCCCAGATTTTCATTATATAGCTGCTTTTCAACTTCATTGCAGATTCGGCTGGAGTTGTAATCCTATCAGGAACATAAAATGTTGCTTGAAGAGTTTCGAGCAGATGGTCAAGCCGCACTCTCAACACAGTCTGATTGGATGCTTCGTGAATGTGATATTGCAACTTCAAACCAGAATTATCATTTTTTATTAAGAGTACCGTTTCGCTATTGCCGCATGACTTGTATTTGTGCCTGAATTGCATTGGCACATGGCTTGCTGTACTTGTTGAATTCTCTGCATGTTCCAGACTCTGATATTCGTGGGATTTGTGACACGTGAGAGAAACACTTGTGACATCTTGCGACATGTAAGGACTGCGCTGCTCGCGTGGAGGAACATGAGGTCCGCCTGGGTGTGGCCAGATCAAAGATGGACACGCAGGCGCTGCTTGGCATGGCTCAGCATGGCTCAGCATGGCTCAGCATGGCTCAGCATGGCTCAGCATGGCTCAGCATGGCTCAGCATGCTGCGGTTTCCGTCCTTTTTCGGTGCACATGGGATTTAGTTTGTGTTTTTTCTTCCGAAAAAAAAAACAAGGATTTGATGAGCAACCATTAGATATAGATCGGACAAAAGGCAATATCAGATGAAACTTTGTGTTTTTAACTCAGTCGGCCATCTGCATTGGCTTTCGTGATAGAAGACGTTGCCAAGCTTCACAGATGCTGGCACCGAATCACGAGACCGTCACGAGACTTACGAAGGGGAGCGGAGCGGCTATGCTCTGCCGGGCCAGGATCAGCTGCTGACTTCATTGGGCAATCGTTTGGAGCTACAAGGTGCAGTGCACGTAGTGCACGTAGTGCACTTGTTGCCACATGCCCTGACCGGAATTGTATAGAATTGTTGTAGGACTTTCTGTTGGATGAATTGATTAATTAAGAACCACGACTAAAGCATTATTTGCAAGTGTCCCTTTCAAACCTGGGGAGTTCAGTTCTACAAGGTGCCTACTGAGGCCTACTGTATGGATCTGTATGGTTCAAAGGGATCAATCGTCAAAGAAGTCAATGCTTCAAACTTCCGATTTACGCAGCAAGTGGTTGTTTTCCTGCTCCGCCATTTGCATTCTGTAGGTCGTGTTTGAGTGTGTCACTTGATATCATATCATTTGGATTCATTTGGTCCATGCCTTGCAGTGTGTCTTCGCCATTCTTTACCTGGACCTAAACGGTATCAGCGGTATTTCCTTGTCTTGGGTTCGAGGATTGCCGTGGTGCTGAGGTGAACAAATCATGTCCCAGGTGCAACGTCACTGCAATCAGGCAGCCAAACCGTAGATAAACTTGACAATTTAAACCAGATTTTGCCCTCCACTGGAGACCCTGGATTTGTGTTGTATTTTCATGTTTTTTCTATCCGCTGATCTCCTTGCACCTGTTTTCGACTCCATACTTTGGCTTTGGCCCTGACTTTCAGCTCAGTCTCTCAGCACAGGCTACGCAGAAACTGCGAAGCGAGCTGATGGCATTGTATGAGGATGCCCTTGGTCAGATTAGGCCAGAATCTAGGAACCTTTGACATTTGATGTTTTTTTTTAAAACTTTGTCCAGCCGCGCGCGCGCAACTTTCTGGTTTTAGTTTGAACATGCGCAGGGAACACATGGACAGCTCAGAGGATCGAAGTGTGGTCCTGAGTGCAGAAAAAACTGTTTTAAGTACGCTCCGTGTTTGACGTATGCTTCGTACTGAGTGCAGCATGTGTCTGAAGGTGCCTCAGTGTTTGGACAATTCAAATTGTCAGGGAAAAGACTCATAAGACGGAAGACGAGGAACCATCGCCAAACCCCGGGTCAGAAAGAGAGATGTGTCTTGTCAACTTGCCGTCACCAAGGCCGGCAAGAGGCCTGCATCGCCGAGAAACGTGGAGCATTTTTTTGTTTTCGAGCCCGACATGGAGTTCTGATCGAATGAACACGCGATCGTTTTTATTTGGTTTTCAATTCATTGTCTTGTTTAAACTGGTTTGCAGCCCGACAGGAATACATAATTATGTTTTTACTTCCAAGACAGTAAATTATAAATTCATTTGAAAAGAGAACACACAAAAGTAAATATACATATCAGATGTTCAATACAAGATAGAATTCACATTCTCTTCCTATGTTTGTCATTGTTTGTGTTTCTTTATATATTTCACATACTGTTATTTTACACGAGTGTTTGTTGGGTTTCAATCCCTGGATGCGGGACTCGTGCATCATGGATGCAAACCACTTAGAACGGAATGGAACCCTGAATCCTGGCACCCTTATACATATATTACATAATATATATATAATATTATTATATTATATACATTGCACTTGGGTCGCAAAAAGAATGACAATAGGAATGATATGTGAACCATGGATTTATTTGCACTTAGTAAGTAACTTAGAGCAATGGGAAGGCAAAAGGAGCTGCAGCTCGCGGCAAGCAACCAGAGGACGCCAAGACATCATGTGCTGTGTCACAGTTCCAGCCGACAACAGTTCTGATACCGACCGGTGCCAAGGATGTATAGTATGCTGTATGCTCTCAACAAAGCTTGCGCACATCTGAACATGACATGTCAATATTCATCAACGTTTGAATGGCAAGGCAGGCAAATCCATTGTCCAGGGCAAAACAAACTCAAGACTCTTGTCACAGTTGTAAAGTATGTGAACATGTTCAAACTCATGTTGGTATATTAGGACGAATCTTGGAAACTCTCCCAGCACCTAGAAAGACTCGACTCGAGGAAAGACCCTTTGCACTTAAATCAAACATCCAAAGTATCTAAAGATCAACCGTGATCAACCGTGATCAATCTCCACATGGATCACTCTCTGGGATGCGCAGAGGGATCACTTGGCAGGATGCTACAGATGTTCTGGCTGTGGTCCTGCAGAGCATGGCAACAGCTCAGCGCAGCATCAGCGAGGCAACTTGAGCAACTTGGGCCCTCTTTGGGCTCGAGCAGAAAGACAGGGCATTCGGGACAGTATTCTCTTTCGCAGCCCCCGTATGCCTTGCACATCTTAAACGATCTATGGAAATGCGTTTTAATTCAGTATGCAAGTTCTTGTTTTCTTTTGTTTTGGTGTGTTCACGCACTGCACTTGCTAGTGTTTTTGTTTTAAAGTCAAGACTTTCGAACCTTCTTCCCAGTCTTTCAGCCGGATACCATGAACATTTGTTGAAGCCATGTATATAAGCCTGAGTAGACAACTTTTGCTTTCGATATCCATGCGTTTCGCATTGTAGACCGCAGGTGAAGGAAACCTTGCTGATGCTAGTGGAGGGGCATACAGGCCACAGCCGCGACCATAATTCTTTCCACTACTTCCACTAAGTATTCAGTCTTCAACTTTACTGTTCTCACCGACATTTAATGATATTCCTTACTCTTTTTTGCTTGTTGAAGTCTTCCTTGTCAATTTGGTCCAACTTGCTTTTCGTTGAATCCGTAAGAAGGTCAGCCGACTACTATGGGGAAGTCTTTGTCACATTGCGACACACTACATTCACAATCATTCAGACATAATAAACATATATAAACATAAATTTCCTTAGACCTGCCTTAGAACTGCACAGAGTCGGGCAGTTGGCTCTGCAAAGGCGCCAAGAGCGAGGTGCGTGGGCATGATACTATTTGAATCAAATTGCCAAAAAAGTCTCAGCAATTTGTCAAATTATGAGTTGTAGATGAATACGAAACTATATCCGCGGACACCAACACAACTGCGGTTTTGTCTTCACACTTCTTGCTTTGCCTGTCTTTCAGTCAATTCATGTTTTGCTGTTATATAAACTATAAATGATCATGTTTATATGTGTGTATGTATATTATACACATATATGAATGTATATTATATCTATATAGAATAGCAACTATGCCACGGTTTTGTTTTTTTGCTTTTCTTTTCCTTTTGCCACGCCTAATTTGTGAGGTTCAAGAGCTTCGTCCGACCATCGAACAGATTGCAGATCGCATAGCTGAACAGGAGGCGAAGCACTACATGAACAAGGGTTTGACTAGGACTTAGTCACGGGGTTCAACTTCTGGCTTGCACCTTTCCTGGCTCTTTCGGAGAGTCTCTTATCATAACCCCATACAAAACGGAATTGTAAGTCAAGACAAACCGAGGTGTGTCAGCAGAGTGCATATGTGTACAGCTTGTAGTGGCAGGGTGATTCGATTTTCCTTCGTGCTATTTCGTGCTCACCGCTTTCAAGCTGTCCTTTGCAGTGGCCCAGTCTCGCTGTTGCCCCATGAGTTGCCCCATTGCTGTTGGCAGTTTGCGTTATCGTCTCTGAAGAAGAATATGGACCAGGTGTCTGCTTCCTTAAAGGACACGGATGCAGCGGCGCTGGGACATTTTTTGGGAAAGAGCAACTGCCAGGTAGCCAGAGAGCTCGCCACAAGAGACATGGACAGAGAGAGCGAGAGAGAGAGATATGACCAGAGAGACCAGAATTGGGGCACAATGGGGAATTCTTCATTTGAGCTCTGGCTTGGGGCTGTGAGGAGCGCATCGAAAAGGCTGAGACCTCTTCAGAACGTGTTACAGGGCTGTTCCAGGCACTTCTATGCACGCTGTTGCAAGGCTGACATGTGGAAGACTCCTAGCCTCATTGGAACTTCTCCTAAGATCTAAGCATCCTCTTCGAACTCTTGATGCTTTTTGCATCTGCTATAGGACCTACTGGTTTACTGGTTTGATCATGTTCGATCTGGTTTGCTCATGTCATGTTCATTGTAGAATTGGGGTGAGAAGGAGCTGCGGAAAGATATGGCAAGGATTCTGGCCGAGGTCCCAGCACGTCTGGTCTGTTTGCATGTTCAGCGTCCAGTGCAAATCTTGTTAAGTTCCAATCTTCCAAACAGCATTAAGTGACAAGTAAGATAAGTAAGTGGGAATAAGATGTAACAAGATCTGTTTTTACATGTAAGAAGACTGTAAATGGGAAGTCCTTTTTGGCCTTTGCTCTTGGTGCGTCAAAGCAAGATGTGATCTGGCGAGGAGCCTGGAGTTTCTGAAGACAGGAGACCGGAGGCAAGGTGCCGGTTGAGCTCTTGCAAATCCACATACACACACAGTGACACACATTTTACAAAGACATGCTGTGAAATATTTGTAGATTTGTAGAGTCTTTGTACAGTCTTTGATAGTCTTTGTGCCAAGATGCATTGCACATCCATCCACACATTGCAAGGCTTTGTTTGCGCATACACAGTACTGTACTGGGGTACTGGGTTGCCCTCTCGTATGATGTAGGGTGTTGTCGAGTAGACTATTGCGGACTTAATCTTACTCTCTGGTGTAACAAAATTGTACCAAGCAGTCGTTTAGTTTGCACAGTGTTTGCATGTTGCATAATGCGCTGCGTAGAGATCTGGTGAAATGGGCCCGTGTAGTTACCCAGCGGCGCATAGACGGCCGTGTGGTTTTATACCTTATCGCGTTCATGTTTATATGGGTGGGGTGGGGTGGGGCAATAACGTCACTTGCACTGCGTGTTCTACGGATGCTACGTTGATCAGCACATATTTATCTGGATGGGGTGGGGTGGGGTGGGGCAATAACGTCACTTGCACTGCGTGTTCTACGGATGCTACGTTGATCAGCACATGTTTATCTGGATGGGGTGGGGTGGGGTGGGGCAATAACGTCACTTGCATTGCCAGCTGCATTGCGTGTTCTACGGATGCTACGTTGATCAGCACATGTTTATCTGGATGGGGTGAGGGGAGGGGTGGGGCAATAACGTCACTTGCATTGCCAGCTGCATTGCGTGTTCTACGGATGCTACGTTGATCAGCACATGTTTATCTGGATGGGGTGGGGTGGTGTGGGGCAATAACGTCACTTGCATTGCCAGCTGCATTGCGTGTTCTACGGATGCTACGTTGATCAGCACATGTTTATCTGGATGGGGTGGGGTGGGGTGGGGCAATAACGTACTTTGCTTGCTGTTCTACGGATGCTACTTGATCAGCACATGTTATCTGGATTGGGTGGGGTGGGTGGGGCAATAACGTCACTTGCATTGCGTGTTCTACGGATGCTACGTTGATCAGCACGTGTTTATCTGGATGGGGTGGGGTTGGGTGGGGCAATAACGTCACTTGCATTGCGTGTTCTACGGATGCTACGTTGATCAGCACATGTTTATCTGGATGGGGTGGGGTGGGGTGGGGCAATAACGTCACTTGCATTGCCAGCTGCATTGCGTGTTCTACGGATGCTACGTTGATCAGCACATGTTTATCTGGATGGGGTGGGGTGGGGCAATAACGTCACTTGCATTGCCAGCTGCATTGCGTGTTCTACCGATGCTACGTTGATCAGCACATGGGGTGGGGTGGGGCAATAACGTCACTTGCATTGCGTGGTTTCTACTGATGCTACGTTGATCGGCACATGTTCTTATCTGGATGGGGTGGGGTGGGGTTGGGCAATTAACGTTCACTTGCATTGCCAGCGCATGCGTGTTCTACGGATGCTACTTATCAGCACTGTTTCTGATGGGGTGGGGTGGTGTGGGGCAAATAACGTCACTTTGCATTGTGTGCTTCTACGGATTTCTACGTTGATCACACTGTTTATTATCTGATGGGGTGGGGGTGGGGTGGGGGCATAACGTCACTTCATTGGCCACTGCCTTGCGTTTCTACGGATGCTACGTTAAATCAGCACAGTTTATTGGATGGGGTGGGGTGGGGCAATAACGTCACTTGCATTGCGTGTTCTACGGATGCTACGTTGATCAGCACATGTTTATCTGGATGGGGTGAGGTGGTGTGGGGCAACAACGTCACTTGCATTGTGTGTTCTACGGATGCTACGTTGATCAGCACATGTTCATCTGGATGGGGTGGGGTGGGATGGGGCAATAACGTCACTTGCACTGCGTGTTCTACGGATGCTACGTTGATCAGCACATGTTTATCTGGATGGGGTGGGGTGGGGTGGGGCAATAACGTCACTTGCATTGCGTGTTCTACGGATGCTACGTTGATCAGCACATGTTTATCTGGATTTATCTGGATGGGGTGGGGTGGGGTGGGGCAATAACGTCACTTGCATTGCTGCATTGCGTGTTCTACGGATGCTACGTTGATCAGCACATGTTTATCTGGATGGGGTGGGGTGGGGTGGGGCAATAACGTCACTTGCATTGCCAGCTGCATTGCGTGTTCTACGGATGCTACGTTGATCAGCACATGGGGTGGGGTGGGGCAATAACGTCACTTGCATTGCGTGTTCTACGGATGCTACGTTGATCAGCACATGTTTATCTGGATGGGGTGGGGTGGGGTGGGGCAATAACGTCACTTGCATTGTGTGTTCTACGGATGCTACGTTGATCAGCACATGTTCATCTGGATGGGGTGGGGTGGGATGGGGCAATAACGTCACTTGCATTGCGTGTTCTACGGATGCTACGTTGATCAGCACATGTTTATCTGGATGGGGTGGGGTGGGGTGGGGCAATAACGTCACTTGCATTGCGTGTTCTACGGATGCTACGTTGATCAGCACATGTTTATCTGGAAAGCAAAAAAACAAGAAAAAAACAAAAGAAAAAGCAAAACAAATGCAAAAAAAAGCAAAACAAATGGGCCCTCGGTAGGGTCATCCCTTGGGAAATGGGCCCCCACTTGCCCGAAAAGCAGCGTCTGGGACTTGGGCTGGGGGGCTGTGCCAACCACCAACCCTTTCCTGAAAATCTATGTGCCCATTCAAGTGGTGATGCAGGGGCAGAAACCCAAACCGAACTGAAACTCATTCTTGCACATATTGCATGTGAGTGAGGCAAATTCAAGAACCGGAATGCATGAAAGCCAGGCAACCGAGACTGCACATCCTACACGCCCCCTATATAAATGTGAATCAAGCGGGTGTCCAAAAGCATTTTCGGCATTTGCAATTTTGTACTTACAGTATACAGTATTCTTTATTTTTGATTTTTATTTGTTTTGCATTGCGTTTTTGCATTTGCATTGTTTGTGCATTTATGTTTTCCTTTCTTGCATGTTCTTTCTGCAGTTGCTTTTTGTTTACATTTTTAAGATCCATTTTTTTTTGCATTACATGCTGCATTTTTTCAAAATTCCAATTTTCTAAGATAAGCCCACAAGGCGCCAACACGTCTATGCTTGTCTAGATTTTGTTGGGGTGTCACAGGCATATTCAGCCTTGCCGGGCTGTAAATGAATAGACTCGGCCCATAAACAGATAGGACAGCTGCCAAATAGTGGTCTGGTGGCCTTTTCTTAAACCACTCACCTTGAAAATCCTCCAAATGCAAAACCAGGTCATCTCCCAGGGCGTGAGCGTTCGCTGAAGACTCAATGTGTTGTCATCTCTTCCACCGTCTTCCACCACTCCACACCATTCCACTGCCTTCTACCTTGAATTTTGGCTCAGTCAATCTCAGTCACCCCTGAGGTCGGGAAAGTCCAGAGGGCCAAAGCCAGACCACCGAGCAAGAGGTCTGACGATACATTTGCTGTTTTTGGTGGAGATGTGTCAAGCCATGTTCTCTTGTTGATGCAAGATCCCAATTGTAAGTAGAACTGGAACATGGGACAATGGCAGGTATCCTGGGCTTGGGAACTTGAGTGCGGTTGTGCATTGACCTATTTGCTGGACTTTTGACATGGCCTCCTTGGAAGAGTCAAAGGTATGCTTTGAGTTTAGTTTACTTGACGGACCGGTGGTTTGAGGCTGCATCCACCAACTTCAAGATTGAGCTGCCTGATCAAGGCAAGAGCAGTCACATCTCATCACGGCCTAGATTAGTTTGTGTTTGTTGACAGTCAGCATCCGACTGACCTTTTCTTGGGTGAAGCGCTGCAGTACTTTAGACAAGATCATGAGATTTGCTTTTGGAGGTACTGCCAACAGCTCCCGGCCACTACTTGACTCGTCAAGCATCTCGTTTGCTTCACCTGGGCTGCCTTCAGAGCCCTCAGACCAAGACGCATGGAATGTTAACCCAGTCGAAGCAGACACCCAAAACCGGAGTGGCGTGCAGAGTGCCGGGCAGAGCGGCGAGCAAAACGGCCAGCAGAATGTTCAAGAAGGGGAGGAAGCCAAGCCTTTCTTCAGCTCAAAATTGCATGGGTGGTCAGTCGGCGCTGCTGGTGGGACTTGGCCAACCTACGCTGAGGACAACCAGCTCGAGGTGCTCGAGGCTCCTGCAGCCCCCACCACAGCCCCCGAGGGCCCCGAGGCAGGCGAAGGAGCGATCTCAGAACATCCGAAGCATGCCGAAAGCACCGAGCATCCAGAGCACCCAAGGTGCGGATCGAGCGAAGACGAAGCTCAAAGTCAAAGCAACCCATGCTCTTCAGATCTTGATGCGGTATCAGAGGCCAGGTGGGTTGAGGCGCAATCAAGTCTTGTCTGCCATTCGTTTCTCAGAAAAGAAGAGGTAGACCCATGTAAACCCCCACAGGTTGAGCAAGACCTTGCATCCTTTGACACCCATGCTGTTATTGGCAATTTAATTACACGCAGGAACAGGCTCAACAGAGGAGTCAGCTGGCAACAGGAAAAGGCTGCGGTGACGGTGAGCCTGTGGTGCATTCAAACTTGGAGCCACTTAGCAAACTGGCCATGGACCTGGACAGCGAACCGGAAGAGACTGCTGACCTCATGCAGGAAGAAGACGAGGCAGGCCGCGATGCAGGACATGAGAAAGCGATCTCAGACACCCGCTTGACCCACATGTGCGTTCGTTCCCCTTGTTCATTCTGTTTTTGCTTCCAAAGACGCCTTGAGCCCTTTAATAGTCTCAGACTGCTCCTGCACGCGGAAGGTTGAGCAAGACTGCACAAACTCCCGACTGTACTATTTCACACATGCAATCTCCTGCACATTCTTCCATTTCCATTTCACTGTTTATTGTTGCTTGCAAGGCTTGAATGTCCAGGTGATACTTCCCGCAAGAGATTTGCCCGCAAAAACCCAAACCAACATGAACGATATGAAAGCTTAAGTGTTGACTCAAGCTGAGCTGCAAATGTCGCTTTCAGCATCTCCACTGCCTCAAATGCATGAGAAATGGATGCAAAACAGAATATCCAGATTTGGCCACGAGTTCCATTTGATCAACTTTGCCGCAGGTGCAAAATGCCGGCTCTGAATCAAAGGCCACTAGCATTGCTGAAGTTCTTTGCCTGGCACTGCTAGCGATCCTCAATCGAACGGGAGACTCACTTGACTTGGCCAAGTGGACTAGACAGATCTGAAGAGTCACTATCCCAAAAGACGCCATAGAAATTGAAAAGGGCTACTGTATCCATGCAGGGTACTCTTACCTACAACAGATGTGACATTTGAAAGCCATGACGAGATTGCTTTCAGGCTACAGGGCAATCGTCAAGCTCTGCCGGAAATCAGAACGTGCATAATGTACAAAGTGCGGCAGGTGCACAGTGCATTGGGAGCCATTGTCCTTCTCTTGCCACCAGCTTATTGAATGACATTGAGGAATTAGCAAAGAATAGTTCATGACATTGATCTATGGTTATTAGATGTGTATGTGTGAGTATATTATGCATATATAGAAAGTCAGAGGAAGCTTAGCTAGCACCCTTCTGCGTTACGCGCAAATGTAAATGGAGAGCTTTCATCTCACCATGTCAACCACACAAGAAGCAGCAACAGTTTATATTATTGTGACGTACCTAACCCAATAACTTGCCTTAGGTAGCCAAATCCTTTGACTTCAGATTGTTCTTGCCGTTCTCTTGTGCCTGCGGGGATCAGGCCTTACTGTACTGGGTTTTCAATCCAACCCACAGTTAGAGACACGAACTCCAAACATCACAATGCATTGTGACAACCCGATCTTTCAAAAATTATTGTGCGGAAGTACGGCGTTGGGTTTTGTAGTGTCATTTGCATCCGGGGCTTTTGCAATTTACACTAAGCGCCAGTACCTGGATAGTTGTGCGGGATTCTCCAGCAATCACTTATTTACTCACAAACCATTCCACACAAACTCTGCGGCATGAAACTCAAGCGATTTGCGCCTTTTATCTCCTGGTGTAGCCGATTCTTGGATATTTTGTGCAATTCGTACAACAAGCTGAGAAAGAGAATTTGCAGAGTTTTGTTAAAGGAAAAGTAAGCGAGAGAAGCAAGAAACGACAATTTGACAACTGATTTGCCTTTTCCCGAGACCCTGCTCTCCTGAGGACCAAGAATACATACACAAGTCACGGCAGAAAGTGGCAGACTGAGACCAGAGGAAATTGCTGCCACTTTCGAGATCTCTCGCCAGGTAGCCGCAGATCCTTCCAGCCGCTAACTCTGGTGGACTCCGATGGTGAGTATGACGATGATGAGTCACTGGGACTGCGATTTCTATAAGCTGTGAATGTCTATGACCGCATATGACCGCTTGTGCATGAATCATCATGAAACATCATGAAGTGGGCTACAATCCGTCGTCGTGAGACGCTGCTACTTCACATTTTCCGTTTTCCCGCCCTCGCTGGACGAGAATTTCTTTCCAAACTGCAGCTTGGATCCATTAAGTTGCAAAGGTTCGAGGACGACGATTTGACAATCGAGATCCAAGAAAGCAGGCAGACAGCTGCGGAGGGATAACCGGATTGGGTGCAAGAAAACCATGAGCACCGCATGTACTTTAGTGCAGCCATGTGTCTTGGTAAATCATGCCACCAGGTGAAGTTGAAAGAACCACTGCGCACCGCAGCCCAGCTGTGAAAAGAACTCAAGCCCGTTTTCGCATGGTGGCGGAGCTGGTCACTGGCCGACCGGTGGCAGCTTCCGCAGGAGGGTTACACTCCTCTAGTGGTGGGTAACACCGCAGTAGTCGCGCGCGCGCGAAGTGGCACTGCAGAGTCTGCCTGGTAAAGGGCCTTTTGGGCAGATAGCTGCGTCAGCAGCGGCGTCCTGAGGAGTCAACAAGACGGGAAAAGGTGGCGGCAAGAAAGGAGACCACCGTCAACAAGGACCTCGACAGCGGTCAGCGGCAGCGACCGAACGTAGACGCTTAGAGGAGCAGCGCGTCGTGCAGACAGCTTCTTGCAGGAAGGGGCTGCGGGAGGTGGACGCACCCACAGGCCTGACCACATAAAACCTCGGGCACGTGGAAAGACTTCGTCTACAGGCAGTTCCAGAGCAATCAGCAGCCGAGTTTCTGAACGACAGGACTTCGGTAGTGGGAGGACTTCCGCTAAACGGAAAAGCTACGCCAGTAGCAAGGGGGGTCTTTCCAAGCGCTCGAACCTTTCCCAGGCAGCCGGGAGCACACCAGGGAAGACAGCGCGAAGAAGTTTTGCGCAGGAAGAAGGTGGACGACGTGTTGCACAAGGATAGTATCGGAAGGAGGCGCGGTTCCAGCAACAGTTCGCCTAGGAGAAGAAGAAGAGTCAGAAGAAGGTGTCGCCTTGACACATCCAGCAACCAGTGTCTGGTACTCAGTCGACGACGAAGGCAACTTCAAGGACGAGCAAGAGACGGAGATAAAGAAAGAGAAGGTGTCTCAACTGTCTCAACCACCTTCGTCAAGCCGATCCCGAGTGGATTGGAGAGATAGTCAGGCTTCGAGCTCACAGTCCGCAGGAGCGAGTTCAACAGCCAGGCGCTTGACGACCGAGCTTCGTAGCGTGCAGGGCCGAGAAGAGCAGGGAAGAGACTGTTGGATGCAGTCAGCTCAACAAGGAAAAGAAGACCAAAGCAATTGGAGTGACTGCGCCTGGCATAGTCAAACTGATCCGGCCTGGGTCGATCGTCGTCGTTGGCAAGAGCAGGGCGGTTATCACAGTTACTGGCGAGGCGGGTATTACCGCTAGGCAGCGTAGACTTCCTAGGGTTCCAATTGCTGGTGTAATACGCACCCCTGTATACTAGCTGGCGTAGCAATGGCTACGATGGAGCAATTGCAAGCACAGGTTGCGCAAATGCAACAGCAGCAAAATTCGCTTATAGAAGGTTTGCACCGTGCAAATCAGTCTTTTGAAGGGTAAGCTCAAAGATTAGAACAAACTGAAACGCAACTCGCGGAAACCGGACAACAACTCCAGCAAGCGCAGCAGGCAGCAATGACAGCACAGGCAAGTGGGGGACAAACCGGGCAGGCAACGCAGGGCACAGGTCCAGGTGGGGTAGGTTTAGAAAGGTTACTCCACCCTAGTAAGGTTCCCAAGCCTCACCTGTATGATGGTAAGAAGGAAGGATGGGAAAAGTTTAAACATGTGTTTGTTGCATGGAGTTTCACGGTTCACCCCAAGTTTCCTGAACTGTTAGATTAGAACACTATGGTAAAGAAAAGGATCCCATAGATGAAGCGATGTTCACACCCGAGGCCATGTACACATTTCTGATGCGGTACTGTCCTGAAGCAACCATGAATGTGATAGGTCAGGGACTGCATTCGTCGGGTGGCTACAGTGCTTTCTGAACCGTCCTATAGAACGAAAGCTAGGGTCTGGAGGAGACACCTGAGTACAAAGTGGAGCACTGCACCAAACCAGTGGGAGGCAGAAATGAGAGAGTATCAGTATGAGAGATCGTTTAAAGCACCGTTCTCAGAGGATGAGACAGTGTCAATCTTGGCACACGTCGCTCCGACGGAACTACGGCAGAGCATTTTCATGCACAGCGACGCCTTGGACACCTACAGTAAGATTAGATCTTACATCGAACAGTACCTCATTACAATCATGTTTGGAAAAGACCGCAAGGTTCACAGTTTGGACTGACGAAGGTTGCCAACAAAGTTTAGGATGGCGGGCCAGCGCCGATGGACAGGTGCTGCGAAAGGAAAAGAAAAAGCAAAGATGAGAAAGGAGAGTCAAAGAATGGAAAAGGCAAAGACAAGTCCCAAAGAGGGACTGGTTGGAACAAAGAGACAGGAAAAGAGAAAGGGCAAGGAAAGTCAGCAAAAGGAAAGGGAGGACAAAGGAAAAGGCAAGCCCGATGGCAAGTCAGATGGAAAAGGAAAGACAGTAAACAATCTAGATGCGGGTAAAAAGTGCCACGTTTGCGGAAAACATGGACATGTTGCCAAGAACTGCTGGTGGAAAGTCAGTGGAGTTGACGGCGAGGACAGGAGCGTACAGCCTGCAATTAGCAGCAACCAGCCGCAGTCACCCACTGGAGGATCCAGCACAGTAGGAGCAGTCCGTGAGGGATATGATGCCCACACCAAATATGTTTTCACGATTGGAAGTTCACGCGTGGCAGCTGTGAGCAACACTGAAGAGCACAAGTACCTGTTGATTGATTCAGGAGCATGTGAGAATGTAGCACGTTTTGGAGATTTTGATGCAGCAATAGATGAGACAAAGAAGAAACTTCTTTTTGGAGTGCAAGGAAATCCGTTGAAAGTTTATGTCATGAACATGACAGTCACGGATGCCGCAGAGAGGTTGCTCTCTGACCATGTGCAGACGCGAGATCAACAAAGATTGGGCCTAGAGCTCCATGGAAAGGTGAAAAAGGAACCTAACTTGGAGCGTTTCCTGGGTCTCACCAGTCTCAGCGACGGGTAGCACCGGTTTCAAAAGGAGCGAGATTCGAGCAGGAGTCTGAGCCTGACACATGGGAAAAAGAAACCGCTGAGGAGGGTGACTTTCTCATTAGGGTTCACAGCACAGGGGGATTCCAGCTGTTTCATGCGGAAATGGAAGAAGCACGCCAAGATGAAGTGAGAAGATGACGTGAAGCTGAGAGAATTCGCGCGGAGAGACAGTTAGAAGAAAAGAGTGAGGAAAAAGAAGCCCAGAGAGCAGACATACCCAAAGCACTTTCGGTCGAAGAAAGAGAGGAGCACAGGTTGCAGCACGCAAGCTTCGAGCCTTGGTGTGAGACTTGTGTCATGGGTCAGGGAAAAGATGCGCAACAAAGACAGCAGGAAGATAAAAGGGAGCACATCATTTACTTTGACTGCCTCTTCTTCAGCAGGACCGGAGAGGAGACCAGCAAAGAAGAAGGAAGAAAACAGAAAGGTTTGATCACAGTCCTGACAGCAATTTGCGAAGGTAGCCAAAGTCCATTTGCAGTTGTTGTTCCTAGCAACGGAGGAGGCTACTATGCTCGCGATGCTTTTCTAGCCTGGATCAAAGAACTTGGGTTGGGTCAAAGTCACAATTCAAGTTGACCAGGAAAATGCTTGGAACAAACTCTACGAGCGTGTGTGAAATCTTCTACCAGGACAGATCAGCATTCGCAAATCACCGAGATACAGTTCTCAGTCACTGGCGGATGGAGACATGATCAACGGTTGGTTGGCAGGAAAGATCCGTACATGGTTGGCTGAGATCTCAGAAAGCTATAAGATGAAGTTTGGAACAGACCGAGTTCCACATTAACAAGACAAGGGCAACAGCATATAGAGTGCGGAAAGGGCATGACTACATAGCAGAACTTCTACCTGTCGGAGAAACAGTGATGGCAAAATACCCAAAGATCAATGACAAAGCAGCGCCCAGATGTGTGAAGGAAGGGAATCTATGTGGGAAAGTGCATGCTCAGATGAGCATTTGGTGATGACAGAGTCAGGGACACTGAATTTCCAAACGGTACGCAGATTACCGGCAGGATTGCCATTCCAGGTGGAAGCCATCGAAAATTCCTTGCAAGGTTCAGTTCCCAGCGCGCCGGCGCGCCAGAGAATGCAAGTGAGGAGATCTGTGGTTTTGAGGATGAAGGGAAAGATTTTGAAGTTGCGGATGGAGCTGTGACATCAGGTTTGGGAGTCATACCAGCAGCAGCAACGCCAGCGGCCGAAAGAAAGAAGCCAATCAAAGCACCACGTTCACCACGTGCAGTGCCAACCACCGCAAAGACGAGCAAAGGCAGCAGCGGAGGAGCTAGCCCAAGGCAAGCTAAGGCACAGAAGCTTGAAGAGACAATTCAGGGATCTCGCGAGGCGATGGAGGTTGATGATCACGGCGAGAGAGTCGAGATCGAGGAGGCTGAAGCCAAACGACTACGAGTCTCCGAGGGTTCTACCTCTTCCCAAGCAGGCGCGCGTAACACCGCAGCATCACGAGGGCCAGAGTTGTTCAGAATTTCAGCGCCGTCGGATGATGCCATGGGTGAAGCTGAAGGTGGAAATCAGCAACAAAGGAGAAATAGACATGAAAATTCTGAGAAACCAAATGAGTCAAAGTGATCAAAGATTCCAAGAATGGATGGAACAGAGAAAAGCAATGCAGATGGAGTACGAAGCGGTAGCCAACATCAGGGACTACCTAGACACACAGACAAACAGCGAGGACTTGAAAAGAGCACGTAAGGCAGAGCTCAAGAAGCTGAATGAAGATTTTGGAGCTTTCACACCACGAGATGGACGGGAGATTCTGAAGAGTATCACAGTGTGTGGCCGCAAATGGGTTGATAAGGTGACAAAGGGCGTAGCCAAGTCACGACTCACTTGTCAAGACTTCAAAAGAAAAGGGGCAGAAGACAAGAATAGCTCAGAAGCACCGAGCAACTTTTGTCCAACACCTTTTGGAGCATCCCGGAAAGTCTTGGAGGTTTACTCTGTGAGCACAGGAATGCCGAGATGCAAGGCGGATTTGACATCAGCTTTCCTGATAGCGGCAGACCAAGGAGACAATAAGGGACAGCCAGTAATGATGAAACCACCGAAAGAATGGTTAGAAGACCATGAAGAATGGTACTATTCGCAGAAGCCAGAAGTTCAAGCAGAACTCAAGGACGTACCAAAAGAAGAAAACTTGTGGCAAGTTGATGGAAACATCTATGGACGGCAACCAGCCGCAGCACAGTACAGAGATCGTTTGGATGAGATCATCGCAAAAGAAGTGCCAAAAGAGAAGTATGAACTTGAACGTGGAAAGATAGACGCATGTGTCTACAAGTGCAAGAAGACAGCAACAGTACTTCTACATCACATAGACGACTTCGACATATGCGGACCAGAAAGTGCAAGTAGAGATCTGTTGCCAGTGCAATTCCCAAAGAATGGTTGCAAACTGAAGATGGGAGACATGGAATTCCCAAACGTCGGAAGCAAGACTACTTCAGACATCTTGGGAAGGACAAAGATCAATGTGGAGGATGCAGTGATCACAAAGCCGAATGAGAAGCACATCAATACAATCTTGAAGCAGTTAGGCTTAGAAAACGCAAAGTCAAGTCCAGTGCCACGAAAGAAGTTGGACTTGAAGCAAGACAAGTTGCTGAATGAGAAAGATAAAGCCACCTACGCCAGGTGTGTGGAAAGTGCAATTTATCTCAGTCAAGACAGACCAGATTTGAAATATAGAGAATGTCACATGGTGGACCTGAAGACGTTGGGAAGATACCTGAGAGGAACCAGAAACTATGGGCACGTGACGAAACTGGAAGAGAATGCCGACATTTCCAAAGGTTTGACTCTACACTGCTTTTGTGACAGTAACTGGGCCGCAAATAAAACCAGTGGAAGTTTTGTTTTTGGTCGGTACCTTAGTTGAAAGTTCGTAGCACACTCAGCCTGGAACGCCAGCGACTAGTGCAGGTGAAGCAGAATTTCGTTCACTGACACGCTGCGGACAAAGTGCGGTTTCCATCAAGAATTTGTGTGAGACAGATTTTGGAACCAGTGTGGAAACACCGCGTATTTGGTGTGGCTCTTCTGCAGCACTGCAAGCTGCGAGGAAGATGGGAGTCGGAAGAATGCGCCACATTGGAGTTTCACATCTGTACATCCAGGAATTGGTGAAAACAAAGCAGGTAATTATAGGAAAGGTCGACGGTAAGGAAAACACGTTGGACATACTCACCAAACACTTAGCCACAGCGGAACAGCTGAAAACAGGATGCCACAGGTTAGGATTGGTAGATCTTAGCCAGGAGAGTTTAGACGAACATGTCTCAAAGGTGAACATGAAAACCATCGGAGCAGAAACAAAAACAACAAGAACAGACCATGAAGCGCGATATAGTTCAAAACTTAGCATTAGACAACACGAAGGGATGACGCCCCTAGCGCTGTATGATCACACGCCGGGTGACACCGGGTTGAAGGGTCTTGAGATCGGTTTGGTTTTGAGCTGGACTTTCAATCCAGTTGGCGTTTGTATTGGGTGCAGAGCATTTTGCTATTTGCACCGAGATTTTGATGTCATTGCGAAGGCAAAAGCCAAAGCATGGAGTGTATGCCGTGCATTCGACACGGACTGGGAGGCACACACGCAGTACTGAAAGGAAGTTTAGAAGGAAAGACTTCACTTGAAAAGTGAAATATCCAGACCAGCCACGCGCTCAAAAGAGAGTGGTAGGCAACGTTTCTTTTGGGTCGAAACGACCAAGACGAGCCCAATCTAATTCAAAACCAATGGAATGGTGAAGCAAAGATTTACATGAGCATGGTTTGGCGCCATGATGTAAGGAGGGTGAAAGAAACCCATGAGCACCGCATGTACTTTAGGGCAGCCATGTGTTCTCGGTAAATCATGCCACCAGGTGCAGTTGAAAGACCCACTGCGCACCGCAGCCCACCTGTGTAAAGAATTCAAGCCAGTTTTCGCACTCAGCGGGACTTGGCAAAAGGACGGGAAGAAACTCAGCTAGGAAGCCGTTCCCTTGTGTGCGAAATCGCAATTTGCACCCGGTTTGCACTATTCGCACATGCTCCACATTTGTTGCAACGTCTGATTCCCTTGGAATCATTTGCAATCTCTGCTGTTTAGCAGGTAGAATCTCAGGCAGGACCAGGTGGAAGTTGGTGTTTAGAAACTTTTTCCGTATTACGAATTTCGCTGAAGGAGAAGCAGCTTGAAGAGCCAGGTCCAAAGCGGGGCGCAGAGCCACAAAGCTCCGTCTATTCTTCTCCATGCCTCACTGTCCCTCTTTCTCTCTCTCTCTCTCTGTCTCTGTCTGTGTCTCTGTGTCTCATGCTCTCATGTGTGTCTCTGATTTCTCAAGTGCTCAAATACTCCAGCCTCAGTGCACCAGTGACACTTCTTGAGTCTTCAAATGAAAGAAGGATTCAGATTCTGGGCGATGCCGACATGACAGTTGTCGTTTCCCTTGTGAAATGAGACAGGGGAACTTCATGCAGGCCGTACGTTTTTTCTTTAAGATATATATATATATATTTAACCTGTCAGGAGTGAAAAGGACGATTGCCATCCACTGCCTCCACACCCATGCTACAATCTGGTACAATGAATTCCTGCTCAAGAAGGCCTGGCCATGCAGTGGAATGTGATGTCAAGCTTTGCTTGAGAGACTTGTGCTTGATTGCAAATAACCGGTCTCTAGTGATAGTTTCTGCATGTTTCTGCTGCAAAAGAGGCTGTACTTTCTTCAGCCTCAGCTGACCTCCTGATAGCTTGATCAGCCCGAGATGCTCACAGTTTGCCAAGGTCAGCGACATCCTGCTCCAGAGCTGTGGGGTCGGTTGGGCATGCTTCCACATGGAGACATCGTCGAGGTCAAGGATTCGCTGCCGTCTAGTTGAGTCTACTCTGCCTCTTGCTGGACTCGGAAAAGTATGTGTGCTTTGCCCACAATCAGTGAGAATTCAAAGACTTGGTCATACGACGCGCAAAATAGTGGAAGCACTCAGACATCTCACGCCTGCTCACCCAAATTAATGAGCTGTGCATAAACATGATTTTACACATTTTGTTTGGGTGTTGAAGCTGATACGTGCATAGCATCGTTTTGGAAGCTTCATCAAGTAAGGCTCTGTGGGCCATTCAAAAGAGATTCACAGTTCATGCAGAATTGCCGAACATGAATTCCACATTGACACTTTGTGTCTATGAATATTATGAATGCAACGCCGCAGAGATGTTACTTTGGCGACCTTTCTACCACCCTTGAGTGTCCAACCACATCTCTTTGCTGGGCCAAAAAATTGATTCAACACACTTCCTGCGATGGCAGCTGCGTCTGATGCAGTCAAGCGCCCTGGCTGAAAAAGTGCCAATGACGCGACGTTTCACAACATTTGTATTAGGCTTTGTATTCCCAGCAGCAGAAAGCAGAAAGCCGTTGGGTCTCAATCTACAGAAGGTGGGGCGGTATCACCATTTCAATCGCTGCGCGCAGGGTTCCGCGAACCGTGGAACGTTGTCTCCCATTTGGTTTCCCATTTTGCCTGCCACTTTGTCTCCGTCCCACTTTGTCTCCCACTATGTCTCCTACTTTGTCTCCCAATTGTTTCCCACTTTGTTGTCCACTTGTCTCCCACTATGTCTCCTGCTTTGTCTCCTATTTTGTCTCCTACTTTGTCCCCCACTATGTTTCCTACTTTGTCTATCACTTTGTTTCCACGCTGAGAGTCAAAATGTGGCACAAACATGGGCGCCATTCCTTCTCACCATGAATTTGGAATCCTCGCTGCTCTTGGGTTGCAAAACTGGTTTAGTTGCAGCTATTTGCAACTTGTATGGTTCTGTGTGTTTTGAGAGGAAGAACGGCCGAGATGACATTGAACGAACCATCAAACAGTCAGTTGAGGTGCAGCCAAAGATCAACTTCATTTCATATCCTTGGCCCAAAGCGCCCAGTCTTTTTGAAGATTTGCAGGGCCCTGGGCCCACCCATTTTTCCGGTTTTTCCTGATATTTCTGTGCTGCGCACCTCCCAGGGCAGTCAAAAACCATTTTGCTGCATGAGTCTCGTCAAACACCATTTTGCTGCATGAGTCTCTCGTGAGGATCGCCCAAAAACATGTAAATGTCAGAAAAGTACCTAACTTACGAACCTTGATCTCCTGCTCTCCATGCAAGGAAGAGACCGGTCGAATATTCACACACACACACTTTTATGAGAAAACAAATTGTCAAAGTACCGTGGTCAAAACCATTTTACACAAAAAGTACACTGATCAAACAAACTGTCTGGCAACAGATCTGGAAGCTCTGAATGAATCTACACCAGTTTGTTGGTTGGAATTTTCATCAGGCAAACGCAAAGAAACAACGTGGTATATTAATATGATGTGGGACATTTGGTGCTGCAGAGAGTAACAGCTTGGTTCATGCATTTCGCCTTTTGGCAAGATCAATGTTTGAACACGTTGTAAGATGTGGTAGCCTGGTAGCCGCTACATGGTAGCCGGGCTTCAGTTTATTTCCAACATTGGATTTTGGATATATAAGTTTGACAACCTGTGGTAAGCCGTTCTTTGGCAATCATCTGCGCATAGTGAAGAGTTTGCCAAGAGTCATGCGCAAGTTTGTGCACTCTTCACATTTAAGGATGATTTGATTGCATTATGGCGAATCATCCCCGGGTCTGTCTTTCGCACTATGAGTGAGACTAGGTGGGTCTAGCATTTTTGTATGCAAGGTCAACTAAACAGAATATGCTGCACCCCATGTAGGACTTAGAATTGACATTGTCTGCGCAACTCCACCCTGTGAATCGAAATCATCCTTGAAAACTTTTCCTCGAACCCTTGCCCTCGCACCCTTGCGGTGGGAACCTACCCTGGAAAGCTTTCCCGGGAGCTTTTCTTGAGAACCTGCCTTGCCTGGGAACCTTCCTTGGAATCGTACCTGGCAACCTTGCTTGATACCCTTGCGTGAGAAACTTGCCCAGGAAAATTGAACGAATCCTGCTCTGGAGCTCTTTGCCAAAATATTGTTGTTGTTGTTGTTTTTGTTGTTGTTGTCGTTGTCTTTGAGCTGGAAACAAGCTTGAGTTTGCAACCTTACTTGACCGGTCCGGAACAAGATTTTCTATGTGGACAAACATGTTGTAAGCAAACGAAGCACATCTTTCGCTGGGGATTCGAAACGCTGTTCTAATGATGTGTTTTTCTCTTTTGTGCTCATTCCCCCCAAAGCCTGCTTCCATTACATAACAATTTCTGTTTTGGCAAGGGGTCTTGCAGGATCACTCTCCAAGCTCTTGTCGGAGAGTTTTTTCCAATGTTGGGAATTCTTTATGAAATTTTATTGCTCAATATTTGTGCATGTTTTGTTGCGGCGGTGGAACACAAGCGGTCACGTCACAGATTCTTCGACAAATTGTTGCCCGTGTTCGAACCGTTTTAAGATGTGCAAGTTGCGCCAAGCAACTTCCTCTCGAAGCAAACTCAGGACAGCTCGAGCAGCACTCCAGGACCAGCGATATTTTGACGGAGTCCAGATCGTGAATGGTGCTTTGGAGGTACCAGAAGCCTACATGGTAATCAGTTAAGATCTGAAGGAGAAGGCAGCTATATGTTGAGACTGGTTGCCAGGTTCAGCAGGGTGTCCTCACCAAGATTCAATCTGGTGGTTATGTGCCTTGTACTTGCATGAAGAAATGCTTCTGAAGGAGGATTTTCATGCTGAAATGAGACTGGTTCACCAAGACCAAGCTATATGTCAAAGATAAGACAGGTTAGTCATTCAGACGAAACGCTCTTGGGCGTTTCTGGATTTCCGGAATACGTGACTCTGAAAAACATTAAACATCCTTGGCGCTGGACAGATCATGTAAATGAGCACTCAGCAGTCATATATACACAATAACATAGTATAATGTAATATAATATAGTATAATATAAACTTATAAAATAAAATAAAATATAATATATATAATATAAATATATACGGTTACTTCAAGGATTTTTCCATTCCAGAATTCGGACACCAGACTTTGCTGTGCCGCTGGAAATTTTATTTGTTTTTTGGCCCCACCACAAGCCATTGCATAGATGATAGATAATGATAATCCTGTATCAGCTCGCAAGTGATAGTCGTTAAAGATCCAAAAGAGGCTTGAAGAGAGAGTTTGGAGTTGGATAGCTCAAGCAAAGTCAGGGATGGGGGAGGTCGAGTATGATCGTGTTCCTTACAAGCAACGTGTTTGCTGGAAATGTTAAAGAGCTCCAAAATCTGAGCCTTCAAGTCAAGTTCACATGGTGGTGCGGCTTCATGCTTGCCAGTGTGGTCTTCTGTTATCTAGTTTTACAATCTGTGCTGGAAAGACCAAGTCTTGTTACTGCTGCCTGTGCATTATCGTCATCCAGAATTGCTTGTTGCAACGATTGCCTTGCTACATTTGCAAGGAAGTAGTGGTGCCCTGTTGCAACGAACTGCATTGATTCTTCAGTCAACCAATCCAGCAGCCAGTCATTCAGCCATTCACTCTCAAACTCAGTCCTGCTGAATCAATCGTTGACTCTTCTGCTCAATTGTTGAATTACTCCATCTCTGTTGTGAGCCTTTGTTAGCCATCAACCAAGCGACCACCTAGGATAGTTGGTCCATTTCGGCCCCGCTTGCCCCAAAAAGGGGGCCCGCGACAACAACGACCACCATCTCCCCCCAGCACATATTGGGTCACAACCCCCTGCTTCCTTGGTAAAGGGTTTACTTGGGGTTGGTCAAGGTTGGTTTGAAGTTAAGGTTGTTCCTTGTTTTAGGGCTTATATAGGGTTGGTTTAAGGTTTCTGTAGGGTTGGTATCCGGTTTATTTGGGGTTGGTTTGGGGCATATTAAGAGTTCGTTTAAGGCTCATGTAGGGTTGGTTAGGGCATATCTAGGGTAGGTTTAGGTTTTATTTGGAGTTTGTTTAGTAGGATCTATTTCGGGTCGGTTTAGGGCTTATTTGGGGTTTGTTCAAGGTTTATGTATACAGGTTGATTTGGGGTCTATTTCGAGTGTATGTAGGTTTGTCGGCCGGGGGGGGTGGTAACCCAGCCCCTGGCAAACTCTTAGCCACCTAGCCAAGCCATCATTCAATCAACCCAGCAAGAAAACACAAACCAATAAACGGAGGAATCAGGCAACCAAGCAACCGAGCAACTCAGCAGCCAGGCAAGCAATCAGTCAATCAATCAATCCCGATAGTGCAAGCTGCCTTGTATTTTCTACATTTTTTTAATTTTCCCCTATATAGTTGGTATAGTTGGTATATTTCTCAAAACTTGTGACACAGCGTTCGCCTTCGAGCCAGCCAAATTTTATGCGTACTCTTCCTTTGCTGTTCTTTTTGCATTGGCCACATTAGAATTTCAATGAACATGTACCGAAGAACGACAGGGGAAATGATACAGAATTGATTCTCTACTTGTCCCAAAAGGATCCCAAAGAATGGACATTGTGCCTCTGCCCCCACAACTCACCAGCGCCAAGGCGACATCCACCGAAGACAAACAGGAGATTCTGAGAAATCCAGTTTCTCGGCATCTTCGGACTGCGGAATCTTCTCACAAATATCAAGTAGACTCATATATTGTACACATGAATATATATAAAGTACGTAGGTAATAAAGAATAATATATATATATATATATCTGAATATACAATGTAATATAGCATATAATATAATATATAAAACATACAAAATATAAAAAATACTATATAATGTATAATGTATATATATATGATTTAATATCTAAACAATATATGTAAAATACAGTAATATGATAATACATCATGTATAGAATATATGAATTTCAATGTATATGATATTGTAAATACTACATCACTTTCATATGTAAAAATTACAATATGATACTTATAATGTAATATTATATATAATGTTTACTTTCAATATTACATGTAAAAAGATATATTTTATATATAATATATATATATTTATATTACATTATAGTGACGGACATACACTTAGAAGATAATTTGGAAAAAACAAGATTGATGCCGCGAGCGATTCTCACACTTAGAAAATCACCGAATCTCACACTTAGAAATTCCAGTTTTGTATTGAATCACACCTTGCCCTGCAGAAGCCTCACACTTATAACATCCTGTATTAATAATCATATATTTTGTATTAAAACACATATATGTTGATTGTTCTTCACAACTGGTTGAATGCCACTGGTATCATACCCTTGGGAAGCTTCACACTTAGAACATCACAAAACCTTGAAAGCCATAGGAAAACTATATGTAATTGGATTATATATACATATACATATATACATATATATATATATACACATAATGATACACACACACACATATATATATACATACATGATATTTCGTATTCAGCGATACAAGGTACGGTCAAAACTCCTGTATACTACTTTCTAAGGAGAGTTCTCTGGCGTCTGGAAAATGCACAAAACACTGTGTAGTGATAGGGCCCCTCCAAAAGCGATACCTATAATTGGGTATGATGTCCACATCTGAATTCGTTTTGTGCTACGTACATGGAAGAGGCTAAATTAGCGATACCCCTAGCGATACCTTAGCGATGCCCATTTGTTCAAAAAGTAACCCCAGACCAGACCACAAATAGATCCTTTCCTTTTTCCTTTCCGTTTTTCCCTCCCTTTGCCGTTACTCCTGTTCTTGTCTCTTCCTTTCCTCTTCCTTTCCTTTTCTTTTCCTTTGCCATTTCTTTTCCATTCCTTTTCCTTTCCTCTTCATTTCCTTTCCTGTTCTTCTCCTCTTCCTTTCTCTTTCATTTCCTCTTCCCAATCCTTTTCCTTTCCTTTTCCCAATCCTTTTTCATTCCTCTTCCCAATCCTTTTCCTTTTCTCTTCCTTTCCTTTTCCTTTCCTCTTCCTTTCCTTTTCTTTTCCTCTTCCCAATCATTTTCCTTTCCCTTTTCCTTTTCCTTTCTTCTTCCGTCCCTCTTCCTTGCATCTTTTTGCAAAAGCATGGGTAGCGATAGGCCCCCTCCAGACACCCAATTTTCGGGAACCAAGCGAAGACATTAAGTTTTGACAAGGCCCCATATATGCTAGCATTCTGCTGTGGGAGCCCCACACTTAGAACATCGGATATTGAACTGCGCTTGAAGATTGATTCAACTAGGTTTTAGTGTTGATGTACATGGGGATTCCCAGTGTGCTTTTATAAGTTCACATCTCAAAGATTTCTGAATCAAATCAGTAGTTTGCCCGTTCCACATGGGATTCAAAGTTCGGCTGGCACTTATCTATATATATATATATATGCTAGCATTCTGCTGTGGAGACCCCACACTTAGAACATCCAATATTGAACCGCGATTGAATATCGATTCACCTACGCTTTAGTGTTGATGTACATGGGGATTTCAATTGTGCTTCGAGTTAAGTTCACATCCCAAAGATTTCTGAATCAAATCAGTAGATTACCCGTTCCACATTGGATTCCAAATTCTGCTGCCAGTTAAATCTGTATACATAAATAAATAAATATATATATATATTTATGCTAGCATTCTGCTGTGTAGACCCCACACTTAGAACATCGCATATTGAACCGCGCTTGAATATTGACTCAACTACCCTTTAGTGTTGTACATGGGAATTCCAAGTGTGCTTCGGGTTAAGGTCACATCTCAAAGATTTCTGCATCAAATCAGTAGATTACCCGTTTCACATTGGATTCAAATTTCGGCCGGCAGTTATATATATATATATTTACATGCTAGCATTCTGCCGTGGAGACCCCACACTTAGAACATCCCGTATTGAATTGCGCTTGAATATTGATTCAACTACGCTTTAGTGTTGATGTACATGGGGATTTCAAATGTGCTTCGAGTTAAGTTCACATCTCAAAGATTTCTGAATCAAATCAGTAGATTGCCCGTTCCACATGGGATTCAAAATTCGGCTGTCGGTTTTTCAAAAATCTTATTCAAATGTAGATATATATATATATATGCTAGCATTCTGCTGAGGAGACCCCACACTTAGAACATCTCGTATTGAATTGCGCTTGAATATTGATTCAACTACGCTTGAAAGTGTGAAGATGTAAATCTGCAGATGTGAAGGTGTGACGATGTAGATCTGCAGATTTGAAAGTGTGAGGACGTAGATCTGCAGATGTATTACAATGGCTGCTTTTTTACGAAGAACCCTTCGCAGGCGCTCTCGGGAAATATAAAATATATCTTTTTTTTTTAAAAAAATAATATATAATGTTTAATAAATATTTTTAGATATGCAATGTATAAAAAATCGTTCAATATATCACACATAATATAGAATATTTAATACATAATAAGTAATATTCAATACATAATACTTAATATAGAACATTCAATATGTAAGATAATATTTACAATATATAATGTGTAAAATTTAATACATAATATATAAAATATACAATAAAAACATATTAAATGATGTAAATTATTTATGATATTTAACATATATAACACACACACATATATATATATATAGATAGGGTTTATTTAATAATGTAATCTAGTAATATAAAAGATACATGTTCAATGTCACTGAATATCAACCTTTGATGCGTGGCAGTAGCTTCTCGATTAGTTTGCAATTTTTTTGTCGCCCCAAGGAAGTCTTCCTGAAGAGAGTCACCTGGTTTGTGTATTTTGCTGTGCTGGCTCTTGTCCTGCGTTTGATTCATGATCTTCTGGAACTCACAGGATTCCCAGACTTTGTGTTCCAGATTTTTTTTTTTAACCAAGTAATCCATGTACTGTATCGATGTGCTTCAGTACTTTGGTGTACCCTTTTCCACACTTTCCAGGTCCTACCAGAGCTCGACGAGGCGAAACGGAAGCACCTGGCTGAACTTTTTGTCTTGCGAACAGACACTTGTCGGACCAAACTTCGAAGCTCCAAAGAGGCTTTGGTAAGCGTCATTTCTTCCCATGTCAGAGTGACAACCACCTTTCTGGTTGCAGCTATCAGGACTTCATGGATTGACTTCGATTGAACGTTTTAGAACAAGGTTGGTGTTTGTTGAATCTCAGGACTTGCTGATGGGTCTTGGTGCCTTGAAGCGAGCTGTGCTGGACATCAGCGCAGCGTTGTTGCCTGGACTGGACACTGGAAGACAGCACAAGGTGCAAGTACAGACTAGTAAGAGGAGGAAATCAAACGGTTTTCGGGGCAAATCTGACTACACATATTTTAGCTTGGACTTGGACATGACACAGATTTCGATCTGTTTCGTGTTCATGTGATCTTGAGCAAACTAGTCCTCTCGGTGAAAACATTTTTGCCTTCAGCCAAGGCTTCTCGCACCTGACGACGAAGCCATGGCCAAGAAGAAATCGGACATTGAAGGCTCGAACTTTGACAATTTTGAAATCAACTTTTGTCAAACCCCTTCTCCCAACAATACAGAGACGAACTTATCATCACGAATATTCCTGGCAATGCAATCTCAAACAAAATTTGCGATGTTAGAACGAACCCTTTCATGCAAGGATATTAATAGGCAGCTTGACCTCAAGTGGATGAGCAACTGTCTTCGAAGCTGAACGAACATGATGTAAGATGTGTATCCTGTGTACTTTGACCTACAGGTAAGCACTACACTTGTAAATAGACGAATAGACGCACGCACACAGACAATGGCTGTCTCTCTCTCTCTCTCTTTCTCTCTCTGTCTGTGTCCGCTTCTCTTCTCTTTCAGGCTTGCTCAAAACGGGAATGTCGGCAAGTGAAGGATCTGCCAAGTGGAAGCCTTATGGAACTTCTTTGATGTGCAAAGTTGGCCTGCGGATTCACTTGCATGGCTGGCGTTTGACACCTCATTTGTCTGCTGGTGTTCTGCCTCCAAACCACATCAAACCACTGAAACCCTTTTACCGTGGCAGATTTGAAGTCAAGATGATTTGAACATTTGAGGACTCCCACAACAATCATTACCGGCTTCCTGGGTGCTGGCAAGTCTGCGGCCTAGCTTCTGGACATTCTGAACATGAACCCAAATGTGTTGCAAATGTGTTGCAAATGTGTTGCAAATGTGTTGCATCCACATGTTTTCATTCGTTAGCGTCGAAGCTCTTAGCCTTGAGCCATGCGCCTGTTTCTCTTTTTATCAGGTTCAAATCAGATTTGGTTAGGAGTTCAATCTCTTCTAAGGACAACCTTGCTGAATTACATCCTAGATGCAAATCATGGGAAAAAGCTAGCGATTATTGAGAATGAGTTTGGAGAGGCCTGACATGAACACAGCCCAACGGCCATGAAAACAGCTGTATTGTGCTGGACAGATTGGATAAATTGGACTGAATGAGTCACTGTACATCACTTTATCAGGTTGGAATCGATGATTCGCTTCTCAACACAAAGAGTTCAGTGACTGAGGAGCCCTGACATGGTCATTATTTCAAGAGTCAGTGACTCTCAGTGAATTTCAGTGTTTCTGCAATGCAGCCAGCGTTGCTTCTGTGTCGGTCATGGTCATTGATGTCCTCCATGTCCTCCATGTGCTCCATGAGGAGAACGTCATTGAGATGAACAACGGCTGCATTTGCTGCACCGTCAGAGGTGACCTGATCGCGGGTCTGAAGAAACTACACAAGCAAACTACCGGGAAGGCGCACCCGATTCAGACTCGAAGCGCTCCGTCAGACTTCGCACTTTTTCTGGAAAGCTGAGAAACATGATGCAAGAGTCTGCAAGAGGCTGAACAGACCAGATACGTGGTGAGCGCTCAGCTGCGTGGAACCTGTTGAATCTGTTGCTGAAAATGCTGTCAGGGTAAGCCGTTGGATGGAATCATCATTGAGACCACTGGTTTGGCCGATCCTGCCCCAGTGGCGCAAACTTTTTTCGCAGATGAATTCGTGCAAAGCCCAGATGGATCCAGCTCTACTTCAGCTATGGACATATGGATGACTTGGGGTTCTGAAGAGACAGAACCAGATGCCACTAGAGTATAATTGGAGTATAATTAGAGCAGACTTCATATGACTCTTGCAGGTCAGTGCTAACATGATGCTGGATGGGATTCTGACTGTCGTGGACTCGAAGCACATTGTGGGCCAGCTGCAGGAGGACTCAAAGTCAGCGTTTTTTTTCCAGCTTTGAGCAGTTAGATGACTTAAACAAATTAAACACACATAAACTGTTACAAGAAATCTAAGAGAAATGATTGAACATGGCCTGCGAGACTGAACGTGATTTTTCTTCCACGAACTCAGATTTGTGCTCTTCCAAGGAGAAGCCACAGGGCGCTGTAAATGAAGCTGTTGAGCAGGCTAGACAGAAAAAGCAGAGTCCGCTGTGGATTTTCCATGATTTTCTTAGCTTCTAAATTAGCCAGTGGAAAGAGATGTGCTTGCAAAATCTTGCAAGATTTTGCAAGGAGGAAGTGACAAGATACAGTTGATACTCCTGAAACTACCTCGAAAGTGACGACATAGATTGCCCCAGGTGATCAAATGATTCAAGAGTCAGCCTCCTTCGTGAGCTGTGCCAATGATTGCCAATGACATCCAATGACATCCAATGACATCCAATGATATGCTGGTTCCTGTGCTTTCACATCTTGCCAGATTGCATTCGCAGACAGAATCTTGCTCAACAAGCCAACCCCTGAGCTGCCAGTGCAATCGAATCAATCCTGGCGTGAATATCTTTAGTCTCTTTGTCAGAAAGCTGAGCTTCGCTGGGAAGACGACTGGATCCAATCTTTGCCTTTTTTCTTGACTCAGTGCTGCGACTCAAGGACAGATTTGGTGGACGAGCTAGTGCTGGAGAAGGTCGAGTCAGAGATTCGCCGCATTAACAACACAGCAGCAATTCGGAAGAGCCTTGGCAGCGAGGCATAGCAATGCATAGCAATGCATAGCAATGCAAGACAGTTGAAGGGACCGAAGGACGGAAGGGACCGAAGGCTTAGCTCTTGACATCTCTTGACATCTCTTGACATCTCTTGACCCTTTGTATTGCTTTGCTTTTGCTTTGCTTTTGCTTTGCATAGCTCTTGAATGCTCTTGACCCCGTTTTAACCACAGCACCTCGTCCTGGTGATCGTTTTCTCCACAGACCTGCACAAGCCCCAGTGGCCCAGGACACAAAATTCCCGTGTGGACATGGAGTTCATCCTTGGCATCCAGGCACTGAAGCATCTGTGTAGACCAGGTTTGAGAAAGCTTATGCAATTTATATATATATAATATTATATAATATTAGTTATAGAAATATATATAAAGCATGTGCCTGTGAGATGTGTCTTTTAGTGGAATTTCCTTTGGTAGTGAAGGCCTTCTCCTTGGAGAAGGTCTTGATGCAGATCAGCCAAAGTGTTGAGGAGGAGACTTGGTGGCACTGTTTGAATTTGGATCAGTCCAAACAACTTCAACGACGCGATGATTCAATCCTTGGAACAGATCTTGCATGAAGGGGTCAATTTCACCCAACGAAGTGCACGGGACAGTGTTTGTAGATATGGGTAGCCATGGTAGCCACAGGAAGCTGCGCACGGTCCCTGCCTTGGTACTGAGAGCCTTCGGCCAAGGTTCGAATGACACATCTCGACGCATCTTGAGAGGAATGCCTTTGCTTAGGTCATGGCCACCATGGCCACGAGGGCCACGAGAGCCACGAGGCCAGGTTCTGCCCGAGCAGTAGGACAGACGCGAAGTACACCAAAATCGTACATACTCATACAGACACTCAAACCTTCAGCGCTTTTCCAACATTTCATCGAATTTGTGGGAAGACTGGTTCACTGATCCAGCAATGTTTCAGCAGTCTTGTCAGGGGCACAGCCATAGCCATGGCCATGGGGAGGACTGCAAGGCGTCCAGAGACCCAGGGATGCGATAGATTCGCAAGCCATGAGAAAAGGTCAGACAGAGCAAAAGCATGACAGTCTGGATATGATGGTCAGCCAATGTTTAGAAGTCAAACTTCCGACAATATGGACAGATGGAGGTGAGAGCAGTCAGAGAAGAGAAAGAGTCAGAAGAGAAGAAGTCAGAAAGAAAGAGTCAGAAGACAGAAGATCAAAGTGCGCGAAAAGGTATAAAAGTCACGAAGCACTCTGTGTTTCCCAATGTTTTGTGGCCATCTGGGGAGATGAGACAGGAAAAATTGCGCGCCGATGTGGTGCGAAGCACATTTGGAAGTCAAAATGCACAAAACACCTCAGTGTCGGAGCACTTTTGGAGGTTGCGATCTTGTAAAAGTGCACGGCGCAAAGAAAATTTCTAAGTCAAACTGGTAAAAGCACCACATGTTCGGACAACTTTCGAACGTTCAAGTGGCAGGTGAGGACTGGATAGATAGAGAAAGAGAGAAGTAGAGATAGAGTTGGACATGGAGCTGGAGATCGAAAGAGATAGCGAGAAAGGTAGGTAGACAGACAGACAGATAGATAGGTAGAAAGATAGGGGGAGGGAGAGAGAGAGAGATATATATGGAGAGACAAAGAAAGAGAGAGATACGCAGATTGGGAGAGATTGCCAGAGAGCCAAATACATGGAAAGAGAAAGATATTGATAGTGAGAGAGATAGATAGAGAGATAGATCGACAGATGCAGGCAGACAGACAGACAGACAGACAGGCAGACGGACAGGCAGATAGATAAACAGACAGATAGACAGATAGCTAGCTAGATACATAAGATAGGTAGATAAAGAGACAGACAGATACTGTAGATAGTTAGGGAGACAGAAAGAAAGAAAGATAGAAAGAAAGAAAGAAAGAAAAAAAGAAAGACAGAAATAAAGAAAGAAAGAAAGAGAAAGAAAGAAAGAAAGACAGAAAGAAAGAAAGACAGAAAGAAAGAAAGATAGATAGATTGGTAGAGAGGTGTATAGATAGATAGATAGATAGATTAGATTAGATTAGATAAGATAAGATAAGATAGATAGATAGATAGATAGATACATAGATAGATAGATAGATAGATCGATAGATCCATAGATCGATAGATCGATAGATCGATAGATCGATAGATCGATAGATAGATAGATAGATAAATAGATAGCTAGATAGATAGATAGATAGATAGATAGAGATAGAGAGAGATATAGATATAGATATAGATATAGATATAGGTATAGATAGAAAGAAAGCGTTCAATGAAATTGAGAGCGCAATCTATTAGCTGTGCAGCGTCAGCGTCTCTTGCGTTGGTGGCATTGTTTGTACCGACTTCTGTTGCGCATTCCTCCGCGTTTCTTTTCCTCTTTGTCCTCGCGGCCTTGTGGGAGGGTTCTGCTAAACCTGTGAAAACCTTTTTGTGGAAACCAGAAACTGTTTGCTTTGGGGCTTTGTTTTGATGTGATCATTTAAGATGGGCACTTTAGTTGTGCTGTGCTGATCTGTTCTGATCAGTATGACATACAGTGGCTGAACTGTTTTTGTTTTGACATTGTGTTGTGTGTTTTTGGTTTCTGTTTTATTGTCACGTTTCACGATGATCACAAAGATGTCCAATGTCGCAGTTTGGATCTGTCAGCTGTGTGGGGAGCAGCTGCTCCCATAGAGGGCGGTCCGTTGAAAAGGGACGCGTAGCCATTGCTGCGCCGCTAGCGCTTGGAGCGCGGCCTGTGCATCTTCCGTGTGGCACTTTCTGCTGTGGAGTTCTTTGTGGCATTCAATTTACAATTTCAGTTTTGTTTGTCTGGCTACTTCATCAGTGATTTGCAAGTTTTGTATGTCCCTCGTTGTCTGGAACCCAGCTCGAGACCGGCGAAGGGAATTTTTCTATTGGGTGGCAACCTTTTGCTGGCAACACGGTTTCAATCTGCAGTTGTGGCATATTTTGACTGTGGATGATCATTTTCAGCTGCAGGCGGTTTCATATTCCAGTCACATTTGTTGCATTGACATTGTCATTTTTCTTCGGGATTCAGACATGGACTCAGACATCTTGGAGCTTGGTGATGGATAAGATCTACAGTTGGTGGATCGGGGCTGCAGACAAATGAGAACAACCTAAATGCCTATTTGTGCCATATGCGTGATGAGAACAGGGGTGCAATTTCTGGTGAGGCGGTTTTGCAAGCAGTCAGGTTTTTCCATAGCATCTTGGGTCTCAAACTCCAACCCTGCAACTGACATCAGTGTGAGAGTTGCCGGAGTTGCCAAACAGATGTTTCTGACGAAGCGGTTGCTGAAACAAGCGCGAGCCTTATACGTCTTGGAGCTCAAAGCACTTGAGGACGCTGTATTGGAGGAGAAACAGCCCCATGTAATTGCCATAGCAGGGTATCTTCTCTTTTGTGCGATGGCAGTTTGCAGATTCTCAGATCCGATGTTTTGCACTGGACTCCAAGTGACACGTTTTGGGCATACCGTCCTTGTTGAAGCTGGAACCTCAGTTCCCAAAACGGCTCACACCAGTGAGACGAAGACCATGTTGTTGCCATTGATCGCTCTTGGAACAGTCTTCAGACAAGACAAGTCATGGGCTGAACGGTGGCATGCGACTATGGAACGACAATTTGCTTCATACAAAAAGGTTTTTCTTCTGCCTGCCTACTCGGAGCAGACAAGCAGGTGGCTATCGAGGCCCATGACAACGGCTGAAGGTGTCTTGTGGTTGAAGGACATCGTGCAGCTGAGGTGTCTGTCTGGCAGTGAGCTTACGACGCATAGCTTGAAGACTACCTTGCTGTCATGGGTGACAATTTTCAATGTGATGGATTTTCAACAGAGACGCATCTTGGGTCACCACATCGATGTTGGTATATCCCGTCCTTTAACCTATGGCCGGGACAACCTGACACCTCTGTAGGCTGCTGCACAACATGTTGCAAAAGATTGCCAAAGGTACTTTGGATCCGGATGCTTCTCGGGTTCAAAGGTTGGACATAGAGATAGAACATAGCAGGACGTGCGATGACCTGGATGACGATCACCAGACGGTGGTTTACGGGCCAGAGCAGCAACAGGCTGCAGATGTTGATGAGATCTTGCCCACCTTGGAAATGGATGATAAGGTTGAAGATGTGTGCAGGCCGATGACAAAGTCTTCATCTCGGCAGCACATGCTGATGGCAAATTGATGCAGCATCATGTGTCGGGAGTACTGCATTTCATTGGCGTGGAAGACCGGTTTGTGTGTGGCCGACCCATATCTGGACTGTATGCTACGGTGGATACAGACCTTGCACACCATTGGCCAGTCTGCCAACAATGCAGACGCATCGTAGGAGAAGATGCACTCAGCAGCTATGTGGAGTCGTAGCTTAGTCTTTGAAAACAGTTTGACGCTTGTCCGAAGGGATATAAAAGTGTGTTGGGGTCTGGAATTGTCATCATGAAGGTTAAAGGTGAAGAGGGATAATCGAAGGAAGTTTAGAAGTCAAACTTCCGACAATATGGACAGATGAAAAGCAGAGCAGGGCAGAGGCAGAGAGAAGAGGAAGATTAGAAGAGAGAAGATCAGAAGAGAAAGAGTAAGAGGACAGAAGACACAGATGTGCAAAAAGGTAGGAAAGTCGCGAAACACTGTGTTTTTCCAATGATCTGTGGCTCCGGAGGGTCGAAAAGTAGGCTCGCTAAAGCGGCGGGTGCGGAGCCAGCTGGCCAGATGAGAGATGAAAATTTGCACGCCGTTGTGGCGCGAAGCACATTTTGAAGTCAAAATGTACAAAACACACCATGGTCGGACCACTTTTGGAAGTTGCGATGTCGAAAAAGTGCACGCCGTTGTGGCGCGAAGCACATTTTGAAGTCAAAATGTACAAACACACCAGGTCCGGACCACTTTTGGCAGTTGAGATGTTGAAAAAGTGCACGCCGTTGTGGCGCGAAGCACATTTCCAAGTCAAAAGGTTAAAAACACTAGGGGTTCGGACCACTTTTGGAAGTTGAGATGTCAAAAAAGTGCACGCCGTTGTGGCGCGAAGCACATTTCCAAGTCAAAAGTGTTAAAAACTGGCGGTCTCGGACCACTTTTGGAGGTTCAGATGTCGAAAAAGTGTCGAAAAAGTGTACGCCGTTGTGGCGCGAAGCACATTTCGAAGTCAAAAGTGTAAAAAACTGAGGGTTTTGAGCCTTTTTTGGCGTGCTGATGTCGAAAAAGTAGACACTGATTTTCTTAACTAACTTGACTAACTTAAGTACCTTCACTAACACAACTACCCTAACTTCGACGACAACAGCAACAGCAACAGCAACAGCAACAACAACAACAACAACAATAACAATAGATCGATAGATGGAGGGAGAGATAGATAGATAGATAGATAGATACATCGATAGATGCATAGATCGATACATGGAGAGCTAGATAGATACATAGAGAGATAGATAGATAGACGGAGAGATAGATAGAGAGAGAGAGAGAGAGAGATAGATAGATAGATAGATAGGTCGATAGATAGATAGATAGATAGATAGATAGTTAGATAGATAGATAGATAGGGTCATCAAATGAAAGAGAGAGAGGGAGAGATAGATAGCTAGATAGAGAGATAGATAGATACATAGAAAATAGATAGGTAGGTAGGTAGATAGTCAGAGAAAGAGAGAGAAAGAGTGAGAGAGATCAAGCACCTTTCAATCCAGCAGTGGCTTCGCTCTGCCATCCCTGATTCACAACAACCAACCTCTCCTATAGGTTTCTTATTTTTGAAACTTCCGCCACTGCCTTGTGCGGTACTACTGGTAGCTGCATTGAAACACATGGCATTGTTTGCTTGGCGACATGACGTTGCATTGTCTTTGTTTGTCAACCTCATTTGATTGTCATATCTCCCCGACGAGGGGAATGTCTGCAAGGTCCAACGAAACACACCCAAAACGGATGCCAAATGTAGATTGCACAAATGGTGAAATTGTTGCATTAGGGATGAGGCAGAGAGGCAGAGAGGTAGAGAGGTAGAGAGGCAGAGAGGTAAAGAGAGACAGAGGGACAGAGGGACAGAGAGACAGAGAGACAGAGAGACATAGAGACAGAGAGACACAGAGACATAGAGACATAGAGACAGAGAGACAGAGAGACAGGCAGGCAGGCAGGCAGACAGACAAACATACAGACAGACAGACAGACAGATAGAGAGAGGAAACTCACAGCCTCAGCCACGTTTGGGTTTATCAGTGGGTTGGCTCTGCCATCCATGCATCACGACAGCTCACCTCTTTTATAGGTTTCCTATCTTTGAAACTTCTGCCACCGCCTTGAGCGGCACTAATGGTAAGATTAAGCGGACAAAGCCTCTTTCGCATAGCCATTCACAGTACGCTATGTCTATCCTTGGCCACTGACAGTTGAGTCTTGATGTATTGAAAACTCTGCCACACAGGTGCACCACATACAACCAACGCCATGGCACGCTCACTTGGTCGTGATATCCAAACTGCAAAAACTGTATGCTTTGTCGGGCAATGCTTAGAGGAAGCGTGAGGTGTATGTTTAAACAAACAGATTTGCCCGTGGTATCGAAGCTCTCAATACGCAATGAAAGACCAATAAAGGACATTGATTTCCCAGCAGCAAGGCAGTTTCGCACCATCAAGACATCAAGACGCCAGGAATGTGATCACTCCTCCCACAAGCGGCATGACTACAGAGCTGTGCCCCAAGCATCGTGCTAGTTACTGCTGGTTGCTGCTGGTTGTTAAACGGTTGTTTGTTGCACAGAATGTTATCCTTTGTCGTGCGGTCACGGTTTTGCCTTGAGCTATTGCTTGGCAGTGTGTCCGTCATGGCAAGCCGAAACCTGTGTGCCAAGGTCAGCTCCGTTGGAATTCAACGAGACAAAGAAGTGCAAAAAGACAAGCAGTCCACCCAGCTGCTATTGATTCAACATGATTCAAACAGGAAAAAATAGAGCAAGTCAGGGCAAATTAGAGTATATAGTTTGGAGCAATTCACAGCATTCAAAGCAATATTGCTAAACATGATTTAATGTACTCATTGAATTGTAATCTTCAAAAATGAATCCTGTTGAACATACTTGTCACCAGTATGTGCAACCGTACATCGCTGCTCAAGCTGTTGTCCCAATGGCCCTATGCTGCTGAGGCTCGACAGCTTCATTAGTTGGTTGGTACAGACCAAGGGACCGGATTTGTATCGCTCCAAAGGCGTTTGGAGACCCAGCGGCAGCGATGACTCTGTAAATCTGATCCTGGGTTCTTTTCTACCAACGGCCGCAAAGCATAGGAGATTGCACAGGACGGCAAAGTCCAAAGCAACCCCCACAACCAAGGTTCTTGCGGTCCATGGCATGCCACAAAAGTTTGTGTTCCACGCGGTGCATATGCAGCAACTTAGCAGCAGATCTGCTGTCTGAAACAGCAGATGAATATTAGACCCAGTTCGATTTCTTTACCGGGGTATGACGCAAGCCGACTTGGCAAATAAAGTGCCAATTGAATTTTGAAAGGATTGGCATTGCAACACATTGTACCACTTTAGCCTCTTCTTTCCTTATTTGCAAAACCCAAATGACGAAATCCTTGAAAGTCAATTGGAAAGTCAGTTGGCCGACAGGTTCAGTGGAAGGCAGCACGAAGCCTGGGGACCGGATGAGAAGAGGCATCCAGTGGAGTCTTGATATCAACTTGATATTTCTTGATCCGCTTCTTGGATGCTCTTCCTGAAGAGAAACTGTATAGCGACCAAGGTGAACATCATTTTCACAGAATCGTTTTTTCGGGATAGAACAAATCGAATCATGTGTATCCTCTCTGAACTTGTGAAGGCAGTGCAAGATGGTCTTCATTGGAAAGAATTTGGACCGCGAAGACCTAAACAAAAAGTTCGATGAATGCTTGGTGAAGTGAACGCGAATGTGAATGCGCTTCGTGTTAGCTCGTGCCATTGAACAAGCGGAGTCATTCGATGCTTTGAAACCTGAAAGCATTCGGCCGAATGCGGCCCGATGTGGCTCCGGTGACCTCGATGTACAGCGTCGATAGGTTGCTCAAGCGTGTGGTGGGCTCCCTACTGATCACTGAGCAAGCCACAAAACAGAATGCTTTTCAAGCCAAATAGTATACTGTATATATATATATAGATTGTACACACCGTATTCGGACATATCTGGTGTTTCACAATCTTGACAGTTTTTCGGCGCTAGCCTTTCTAGAAGACTCCAAGCAAATTAGTCGCATCAGCAGCCGCAATCACGCTTGATGCAGTCCAATTCGTGACAGTCAAGACGCAAGAGGAGGAAGAGCGCGAAAACGTGGACAGACAAACCAGCTGACACTTCTGTTCCCCTTTGAGATATTACATTTATCATGGGGCGCATGTTGTTGACAATAGAACTTCATAGGTGCTTGCTTTTTCTGTCAGTGAGGGCAGACTGTCTTGAGCAACAAAACCTGCTAAACTCTGCGACAAGCGAAAAATGCTATTCCATGTGCGCCCAGCTCATGATGTAGATGACGTGGTGTGAGAGTGGTATCGCAAGTTGCCGCAAGTTGCCGCAAGTTGCCGCAAGCGCACTAACAGCATGAGACGAGAACTGTGCGGACGCTTTGCGAAAGTTTCGTGGTAATCTGTGGTGATGCATGGCTTTCACCAGCAATGCATAGGCAAGCCAAAGAAGCTTGCAAGACTGGGCATGATTGGGCTATGTGTTTTTTTTTGTTTGCCAGTTTCATGCACTACACAGACAGACATACTATACAGTCCGCCGCATAAGTCTTGAGAACAGGTGGAATCAGAACTTGAAGATCCATACAGCAGCGCACGCCCCACATGGCACTTATGCATGTACACACACACGGCTAAAGGTATGGATTGTGCTCGATCTTGGTGACACATCATGAATTGTCATGAGTTGCCATGATTCGTCAGGTGTGTCATGAGATGTTTTAGCATGTTTTAACGTGTCCTGTTGAAGATTTGGTGAGATTTCGTTGTCTCCTTGCGCTGGTTCCACCCATGAGAGATTCGAACTCTACAACACGAAGCCATGGTGGAAAGCTCTGCCGAGGAGTCACTTGGAAATGTGATGAAAGATATGAAAGTTGATAGATGTTGATAGATAGATTATGACACAATATGACACAATATGACACAATATGACACAATATGACACAATATGACACACACACGTATATCATCGTATATCGATATTTCATGATATTTCGATGTATATTCACCTATTTTCCATGTATATTCTATTACTTGTATCATGATCTATGATGTGCGCTGGGCCAAGGTTCGGCATAGACGCTGCTGAGGAGATCGATGTTCAAAGCATTGCCAGCATGGTCCAAATTGGCTGCTTGCTTGGATTGTTAGGTTCCACTTCCTTGCCACAGCGTCTTCGACCACGGTGCTGGATTGCGCGAGGTTCAATGCTGCTGTACTGCACTTGTTTTGCCTATCAAATCCCAATGCTTCACATCTGAGGTCTCCATCATTAAAGCCATCGAGGCTGTTTGGCAAGGGCTTAAGAGGCTTAGCTTAGCAACTCACACTATCTACCACGGTTTCCACCTGGGGAATGCAAATGTCTCACTTTTCAGTCTGTTTTTGTGGAAATCTCAAAAAAGAAAGTGCGGCAGGAGTATCTGGCCTACCACCACCTGGCGGAGAGAATCCCGTCAACATGCACAGATTGTGAGAGAATCTGGGAGATCATGAGAGGTTGTGATATGGTCGCAGAAACGATGGAAGAAAACTGTGTCCACTGTGTCCACTGTGTCTAGAGTCCCAACAGCTGCCCTGTTGAGACCAAGTGCTTCGGGTCCTCTCTAGTCTCCCGGAGAGACACCTCGCACTCTAGCAGCTTGGTACGGTGATAGCTCTCAAACGTGCTATTTCAACGGGATGAAACCTTTGTCGAAGCATTAGACTTGGATAGTTTGGCAGATACCTTGGCTAACAAGAATAAAGTCATGGATCCGCAACGAGCAAGTCAGAATTCATGCCTCCAGCAGGCTCTGACCTCCTTTCAACTTCTCTTCTCCACTTAGTCATAGTCTTCTTGTCCGAAGTTTCCATCTTTTTGGTGATTGTGCGTTTTTTTGCTGTTCTTCTTTGCCTTTCTTTTTGATCTTTTTGTTTTCCTGTGTTTGCTGTCATGCTTTTGTTTGCCTCCTGTTTCAATCCCCGTTGTTCTCTTGATACCGACTGACCTGTGGGTCCTACAATGTAGCTTGTGGTAGCATCATGCGAGCTTCTGGTATTATTGCTGGCTTACAACTGGTTTTGCATATCCTTCACCAACGTTGGTCTTGCCTGCTTCCCTCGACTTATCTTAGCTTCCAGCATCACATAGACATAGACGCACAAACAATATCTGGGCTTTATATGGCGACGTAAAATATGGCATATTTGAATTCCAGAGTTAAATACATGTGTATGCACATACAGCACACTTTTTTGGTATCCTGAGCTGTATTTATGTGTCGAGGAGCCTCTCACAGCTTTCCAACGAGAAGTTGCAAGTGCCTTGTCAGTTAGAATCGAAAGGTCTTAGACGTGTAGTGTACGCTACTGCAAGCCGCTGGCACCCGTTAACAGGGTCTGTCTATTTGCATTGATTGCGCTAGCAACCGCTTCTCTGGTCCTGTTTCTGCTTGGTCGCTTCATGCGATTTCTTGCGACTTCATGACTTCATTTGATTTCATGTCGCTTCATATGCTTACTTTCATCGTCTGCAGATCTTCAGAGAGTCTGCAAGCAGGTTCTGGGCTTCTCCGCAATCCAAGCAGCGTGTGGCTGCAAGTGGCTCGCGATGTTGAGGACCCTGCAATATCACAATGGAAGGCAGAGATGGCCAGGTCTCCTTGAATTTTCGCAATTTTAGGAAGGAAGACCTGACACTGTGGGATGCTATGGTGTTTGCTGCTGTCAGGAGGTGCTTGGGACTTTCGATGCTGGTGATCGAGATGCATTCAGGCTACTCTGTGATGAACAGGGCATTGGGCATTCCTGCTATTCCATGCAAAAAAAAACTATTGAGTAAAAGAAAGATCAAAGACCGCCTGCTGGATGGGTTTGTTCAAGATCATAACTTTCACGCAGTTTTCTCATAGGTGTCTCATAGGTTTTTCATAGGCTTTGGCGGCTTTGCATAGGTTTCTCATAGGTTTCTTACAGGACAAAGGTTTCTCAAAGGTTTCTCACAGGCTTCTCATAGGTTTCCCAAAGTTTCTAATCGATCTCCTACCAGGTTTCTCACAGGTTTCTTACCGGTTTCTCATACACTTCCTACCAGGTTTCTCACAGGTTTCTTACAAGTCTCTCATAGGAACAAGTCCCTCATAGGTTCCTCACAGGTTTCTCACAGGTTTCTCATAGGTATCTCAGAGGTCTGCCGTGGGTTTCTCGTAGGCTTCTTACAGGTTTCTGATAGGTTTCTCATAGGCTTCTTACAGGTTTCTCGCAGGTTTCTCATGGGTTATTCTAATAGTTTTCTAATAGGTTTCTTGCAGGTTTCCCAGCCCATAGGTTTCTGAGAGGTTTCTAATAGGTTTCATTGGTTTCGTAAAAGGCTGGGCCCGCGGGCCCGCGCAGGGCCCGTGTGGGCATGGGCTCAGTTTGGTGGGCCGCAGGGCCTGCGGGCCCGTGCGAGCCCGCGCTAGATTAAATGTAGGAGGGTCCTCTGTCGGCTATGGGGTCCTGCGAGACTTTGCAAGACTTCCGTCACAAAAACTGATAGTTGAAAGTTGAAAATGTGAAAACAAAGCTTTCGTGCGGGATCTCCCTCAAAAAGTGCAAGTGGAAAATGTGAAATGAAGCTTTCGTCATTCACTGCTGTTGACATTTATTGCTCTTGACATTCATTGCCTTGACATTCAGTACTCTTGACATTCATTGCTCTAACATTCAGTACTGTTGACACTCAGTGCTGTGAAATTCACTGCTCTTGACATTCATGGCTCTGGATTCTTATTGCAGTGACATCCATTGCAGTGACATCCATTGCCGTGACATCCATTGCAGTGGCATCCATTGCAGTGACATCCATTGCCGTGACATCCATTGCCGTGACATCCATTGCAGTGACATCCATTGCAGTGACATCCATTGCCGTGACATCCATTGCCGTGACATCCATTGCAGTGATCCATTGCAGTGACATCCATTGCCGTGACATCCATTGCTGTGACATCCATTGCAGTGGCATCCATTGCAGTGACATTGCCATGCCGTGACATCCATTGCAGTGACATCCATTGCAGTGACATCCATTGCAGTGACATCCATTGCCGTGACATCCATTGCCGTGACATCCATTGCAGTGGCATCCATTGCAGTGACATCCATTGCCGTGACATCCATTGCTGTGACATCCATTGCAGTGGCATCCATTGCAGTGACATCCTTTGCCGTGACATCCATTGCAGTGACATCCATTGCCGTGACATCCATTGCCGTGACATCCATTGCAGTGACATCCATTGCCGTGACATCCATTGCCGTGACATCCATTGCAGTGACATCCATTGCCGTGACATCCATTGCAGTGGCATCCATTGCAGTGACATCCATTGCCGTGACATCCATTGCCGTGACATCCATTGCAGTGACATCCATCCATTGCAGTGACATCCATTGCAGTGACATCCATTGCAGTGACATCCATTGCCGCGACATCCATTGCAGTGGCATCCATTGCAGTGACATCCATTGCCGTGACATCCATTGCCGTGACATCCATTGCAGTGACATCCATTGCAGTGACATCCATTGCAGTGACATCCATTGCCGTGACATCCATTGCAGTGACATCCTTCAGTGACATCCATTCAGTGACACCAGTGCCGGACATCCACATCCATTGCCGTGACATCCATTGCACATCCCTTGCAGTGACATCCATTGCAGTGATTGCAGTGACATCCATTGCCGTGCCGTGACATCCATTGCCGTGACATCCATTGCAGTGACATCCTGCCGTGAATCCATTGCCGTGACTCCTTGCAGTGATCCATGCAGTGACATCCATTGCCGTGACATCCATTTCTGTGACTCCATTGCAGTGGCATCCATTGAGTGACATCCATTGCCGTGACATCCATTGCAGTGACATCCATTGCCGTGACATCCATTGCAGTGCATCCATTGCAGTGACATCCATTGCCGTGACATCCATTGCAGCGACATCCATTGCAGTGACATCCATTGCCGTGACATCCATTGCAGTGGCATCCATTGCAGTGACATCCATTGCCGTGACATCCATTGCAGTGACATCCATTGCAGTGGCTCCATTGCAGTGGCATCCATTGCAGTGACATCCATTGCAGTGACATCCATTGCAGTGGCATCCATTGCCGCGACATCCATTGCAGTGGCATCCATTGCAGTGACATCCATTGCCGTGACATCCATTGCCGTGGCATCCATTGCCATCCATTGCAGTGACATCCATTGCAGTGACATCCATTGCAGTGATATCCATTGCCGTGACATCCATTGCCGTGACATCCATTGCAATCATCCATTGCAGTGGCATCCATTGCAGTGACATCCATTGCCGTGACATCCATTGCCGTGACATCCATTGCAGTGACATCCATTGCCGTGACATCCACTGCCGTGACATCCATTGCCGTGACATCCATTGCCGTGACATCCATTGCAGTGACATCCATTGCCGTGACATCCATTGCCCTGACATCCATTGCAGTGACATCCATTGCAGTGACATCCATCGCAGTGACATCCATTGCCGCGTGACATCCATTGCCGTGACATCCATTGCAGTGGCATCCATTGCAGTGACATCCATTGCCGTGACATCCATTGCCGTGACATCCATTGCAGTGAAATCCCCTTCAGTGACATCCATTGCAGTGACATCCATTGCCGTGACATCCATTGCAGTGACATCCATTGCAGTGACATCCATTGCCGTGACATCCATTGCCGTGACATCCATTGCAGTGGCATCCATTGCAGTGACATCCATTGCCGTGACATCCATTGCAGTGACATCCATTGCCGTGACATCCATTGCAGTGGCATCCATTGCAGTGACATCCATTGCCGTGACATCCATTGCCGTGACATCCATTGCAGTGGCATCCATTGCAGTGGCATCCAGTGCAGTGGCATCCATTGCCGTGACATCCATTGCAGTGGCATCCATTGCCGTGACATCCATTGCCGTGACATCCATTGCAGTGACATCCATTGCCGTGACATCCATTGCAGTGGCATCCATTGCCGTGACATACATCCATTGCAGTGACATCCATGGCAGTTACATCAGAAGATCCGTAACACGGAAGTATGGACTTCAAAACTTCCTTGGCCCGCACCAAGTTTAGCCCTAGGGGGGGTCCTTGGTCGTGGTTTCTCAGAGGTTTCTAATAGGTTCCTAACAGGCTTCTGAATAGGTTTCTAATAGGTTTCTCTCCGTTTTCTTTGTTCTCTCAGTGATTTTCAATATGGACTGAGGGATGCCTGGCAGCGAGTCATCCCTGCAGAGCGGCAAGCTGCTCCAGAAGGGCGCGCCCTGGAGCTTCGACTGCAGGCCGGGTTTCTAGGCCAGTAAAAAGCACAGAAAAAAGATGAACAATATTGTATCATTCTTGTGAACTTTGTGCACATGTTTCAAAGATTTCACAGCCTTCATAGTACAATGAGCAGGACAGGAGGCCTGACAGAGTTAACACTGCGTACAGATATACAAGACACATCAAGACACTCAAGACACTCAAGATAATCAAGGCAATCAGTTCATTAACGCACAGCATTGTAAGTGTTTGAAAGCTTTGAATCCTGGACGCAACAGATCCAGGGACATGAATTCTACCCCGAAGAGCATCCACCCATGACAGCCATTGGTTCTTGTTGATGTTTGACAAAACCGAAGCACGTTAAAGAATTGCAAGTTTGTGGGCACCTATGTATGCACCATCCCCTTAGGAGTTTCCTCTTTAAAATGGGGAGGGAAGTATTCATATGTTTCATATATAATTTATACACTATGTGCGTTGTGTTGCGCTATCATCCGTGGAGGCATACTTCGCTACCTACAGCATCCGGCAGGTCTTGCAGGTTGGCTAGGGGAACATGGTTGACCTTTAGAGACTTCTGTAACAAGGGTGGATACTTCGGGGCATACTTGGGCATACTCACACCTTTCAAAGGTCTTGTTTTCCTTGACAAGTCATGCCTAAAACAGTTCAAATCTTTTTGCTGTTCATGGATTGGTTGTTGTCCTCATCGTGCAGATGCGTCATTTGCCATGCGCAGACTGCCTTGATCTGCCTTGGTTCTAGGACGGGCACGAGCCAGAAGAGCAGCAACTGCAGGCCTCACGAGCTGATGGAGCGACAAGAGTCATGCTTTCTATGTCATCCTATTCCAGATGTGCGTACGAGCACATACATCGTAATTGTGATATAATTTAATCTAAATATGTCTAAACATCTATTTTATCTAGTGCTTTCTATATCTACTAGTAGTACCGCACAAGGCGTGGCGGAAGTTCAAGGATAGCAAGCCTATAGGAGAGGTGAGTTGTTATGATTGACAGACAGCAGAGCGAAATGATAGACGGAAAGGTAGTGGAGGCTCTGAGGCTCTGAGGCTCTGAGGCTCTGAGGCTCTGAGTCTCTGGTCTCTGAGTCTCTGAGTCTCTGAGTCTCTGAGTCTCTGAGTCTCTGAGTCTCTGAGTCTCTGAGTCTGTGGGTCTCTGAGTCTCTGGGTCTCTGAGTCTCTGAGTCTGTGGGTCTCTGAGTCTCTGAGTCTCTGAGTCTCTGAGTCTCTGAGTCTGTGGGTCTCTGAGGCTCTGAGTCTCTGAGTCTCTGAGTCTCTGAGTCTCTGAGTCTCTGGTCTCTGAATCTCTGAGTCTCTGAGTCTCTGAGTCTCTGAGTCTCTGAGTCTCTGAGTCTGTGGGTCTCTGAGTCTCTGAGTCTCTGGTCTCTGACTCTGCGGGTCTCTGAGTCTCTGAGTCTCTGAGTCTCTGAGTCTCTGACTCTGCGGGTCTCTGAGTCTCTGAGTCTCTGAGTCTGTGGGTCTCTGAGTCTCTGGGCCTCTGAGTCTCCGAGTCTCCGAGTCTCCGAGTCTCCGAGTCTCCGAGTCTCCGAGTCTCCGAGTCTCTGAGTCTCTGAGTCTCTGAGTCTGTGGGTCTCTGAGTCTCTGAGTCTCTGAGTCTCTGAGTCTGTGGGTCTTTGAGTCTCTGAGTCTCTGAGTCTCTGAGTCTCTGAGTCTCTGAGTCTCTGAGTCTCTGAGTCTCTGAGTCTCTGAGTCTCTGAGTCTCTCTCTCTCTCTCTCTACCTATCTGTACATCTACCCATCCATCCATATCTGTCTGTCTGTCTGTCTGTCTGCCTATCTAACCTATCTATCTATCTAACTTATCTATCTATCTAACTTATCTATCTATCTACCTATCTATCTCTATCTATCTCTATCTATCTCTGTCTATCTCTATCTAGCTCTATCTACCTCTATCTATCTCTATCTATCCCTATAGATCTATCTATCTCTATCTATCTCTATCTCTGTCTATCTCTATATCTATCTCTATCTATCTCTATAGATCTATCTCTATAGATCTATCTCTATAGATCTATCTCTATAGATCTACCTCCATAGATCTATCTCTATAGATCTATCTCTCTAGATCTATCTCTATCTCTGTCTATCTCTATCTATCTCCATCTACCTCTATCTATCTCTATAGATCTATCTCTATCTAGCTCTATCTAGCTCTATCTATCTCTATCTATCTCTATCTATCTCTATCTATCTCTATCTATCTCTATCTCTAGCTCTATCTATCTCTATCTATCTCTATCTATCTCTATCTATCTCTATCTATCTCTATCTATCTCTATCTATATATATATATATCTCTCTCTCTCTCTCTATCTCTATCTATCTCTATCTAACTCTACCTATCTTTATCTATCTCTATCTATCTCTATCTACCTCTATCTATCTCTATCTATCTGTATCTATCTCTGCTATCTGTCTATCTCTATCTACCTCTATCTATCTCTATCTATCTCTATCTACCTCTATCTATCTCTATCTCTATCTATCTCTATCTATCTCTATCTACCTCTATCTATCTCTATCTATCTCTATCTATCTCTATCTATCTCTATCTATCTCTATCTATCTATCTATCTATCTATCTATCTATCTATCTATCTATCTCTACCTATCTCTATCTATCTCTATCTATCTCTATCTCTATCTATCTCTATCTATCTCTATCTATCTCTATCTATCTCTATAGATCTATCTCTATCTAGCCCTATCTATCTCTATCTATCTCTATCTATCACTATATCTATCTCTATCTCTCTCTCTCTCTATCTCTATCTATCTCTATCTATCTCTATCTATCTCTATCTCTATCTATCTCTATCTATCTCCATCTACCTCTATCTATCTCCATCTACCTCTATCTATCTCTATCTGTCTCGACCTATCTCTATCTATCTCTATCTCTATCTATCTCTATCTATCTCTATCTATCTCTATCTATCTCTATCTATCTCTCTCTCTCTCTCTCTATCTTTCTCTATCTATCTCTATAGATCTATCTCTATAGATCTATCTCTATGTATCTCTCCCTCCCTATCTCTATCTATCTCTATCTATCTCTATCTATCTTTACCTATCTATCTCTATCTCCATCTATCTCTATCTATCTCTATCTATCTCTATCTATCTCTATCTTTCTCTATCTATCTATCTCTATCTCTATCTATCTCTATCTCCATCTACCTCTATCTATCTCTATCTATCTGTATCTACCTCTATCTATCTCTATCTATCTCTATCTATCTCTATCTATCTCTATCTATCTCTATCTATCTCTATCTATCTCTCTCTCTCTCTCTATCTATCTCTATCTCTATTTGAAGCCGGGCAAACGGCAGTCTTGAACCCCCTGAAAAACAGATGGCAGGGGCATGTAGATGGCTGGGGCATGTAGCTGACAGAGTTGTTGCCTTGGAAAGGCGTGTGCCTTTGTTTGCGACCAGAGAGCCAAGTTCCACACCTCCGGTGGTCCCAGGCGCCGCCCCTGCCTTGGCAAAGGCCGGGGTCGGCGGATTCATCGTATGGAAAGTTGCACATCGGTTGCAATACTGATATATTAACTTTTCGACCCTCCGGAGCCACTAAACATCGGAAAAACACAGTTTTTTGCGACTTGTCTACCTTTTCGGGCACCTAGATCTTCTTTCTACAGATTTCTGTTCTGACTCTTTCTCTTTTGCATATGGTCGGAAATTTGACATCTAAACTTCCTTCGGCCACAGCTATGCTATTTTCTACCTATGTCAACGTCACTGATACGATTAGCGCTGTATAGCGTCTCCAGCTCCATGTCCATCACGTCAGGAACCATTTCTCACCTAAATGCTGCAGGCTGCCGTATGTCTTGCAGAGTTTGTTTTGCCAGGCCTTGGACACCTTTCGGGATTTCCTAAGCGAACGTGGCAAGGACGAGGCGTTTAGAAACCACAGACATGGGTCACAACTGACGTTCGCGATAATGATATAAAATATATAATATGATAATGAAATATTAGTATCCAAGATAGCCATGAGGACACTCAAACACTTCGCAACCAGCACATTTAGTGCATTCCCATTTTTTCCCTTCAGATCCTTCTCGCATGCCGCAAATCCATTATATATTTTCTTCCTCTATTTTTGTGATGCATAAAGCGAATGAACCGTTGTTTTGTGTGCAGGTTGGTGGCAACGAAACTTTAATGCCACTGTTTGCACTTCCATTTGTCCAGTTGCTTTCTCAGACAGGAGGCTTGCTCAGACAGAGCAAGATCCGTCACAACTCCCCAATCTGTCAAGCGCACCGAAACATCCGAAACTTGAGGACCTCACAAGGACCTATTTGCGTTGGTCAAAATGAGGCACCCACACAAGCATCCGGATGTGCGGCAGGCTGGGTTCCTTCAAAATATTCATTTGAGTGTCCAAGTCATGCTAGCTGCACTGAAAGGTAATCATTCTTAGACATCTTCGTAGTTCAGGATGTTGCCAGCTCCTTTTAGCTTTCAAATCCGTGTCACAGTGTCGTACTTGTCCACAAATTTCGGACAGGGTTTGGTCCAAGGTGTTTTCACAGGATTGGCTTCAAGATCTTCGCAAGGATGTGGAGGCAGCACATTCAGGTGAAAGTGGAATAGTCACCGTGAAAACCTTGTGATTTCGAACATTTTTGGATAGCCTAATGCAATTTGTCCCAGAGGCTGAACTTCGGCTTCAACAGCCACCTATTCCCTTGGTGTATAATCTACTGGAGTGCTGTCCTCAGCAAAAGAGACCCGTGTGAAAGGGTCGACCAAGGCTGTCGTTATAATCAATGACAGCCAGGACAATTGATAACAGCGAATACTTCTGAGATCTTCTGAGTACTTTTGGGTCTTGGAGACGAGATATGTCCGAGTTGTTTTTTATACACGGTATATACGGTATATATGATAATATGTGTAAAAGTAGCCACCAGATTGAAACTCTTGACAGGAAGTCTCCTACTGCAGCGAATTCCAAACGCTCGTGGCAGGCTTTCTGTTTCAGCATTCAGATTTAACATGTGCGAAGCCATGCAGTATTGATCCAATCAGTAAAGGCATGTGTCCAGGTGCCATGTCGCCTGTGAGATCATTGTTTAGCATTTGGGCTTCACATGTGCAGTGATATGATGTGATATGATGTGATATGATGTGATGCGCTGTGACATCATGTGACAATTTTATAACTTTGACGCTGTGATTGGGACCTTTGTTGCCTTCTGTTGCCTTTTGTTGCCTTTTGCCTTCTCTCTTCCACGAGTCCGTTTGGGCGGAGCTACTGCGCTTGGCGGATGGGGGGCTTGACACCATGGCACTGCACACGACCCAGAGACTATACTGACTACACATTTCACTCCTTGAGTACTTTTAGGATCTTTTTAGGATCTTCTTGACAACTCCTTGAGGTTGGCACAAGGAGTTCCGGTTGCACCATCGGCTCTAACCAACGTGACTTGGACTGCCGGACTTGACTGAACAGTATATTTGTGGTGACAGACAGGCTATGTCGTGTGCTGGAGTAAGACAATGGCAGATGAATGTAGAGACGATGTGCCTTTTAAACAAGTCAGGCCAGACAGCAGCTGGAGCTGCTTCGAGAGCATGTGCCTGGAGGCAAGCACCTCACATTTCAGATTGATTAAACATGCGCAGGCAGTATTACGAGCTGTGCTTTCATTTCCCCAATCTTTCACTTGCAGTGCATTGCATCTATATATCTAGTATTTCTATTAATTACATATGTATTACATATATATAGAGATATAGAATGATAGATGTGCTTCAGCATATACAAATCCACGGTGATTTGTTCGAGACAATTTCTTAACTTCTGGCCGCAATCGATCTCTATCGACGCGAGGGTGTGTCAGTGAATGACAAAATATGACGTATGGCATCAAAGGCATGCCTAGGTCCTGATTTTCTTACGAACAATCAAGGATGGCTTGATTTAATGCGGGAAACAACTCAAATCTGCTGTGGATTTGGGAGCGACAGCACACCCTTGAGCAGCATAGTCATGCAGTATGTCAACCTCCCAGGTCCCAGTCCCAATCAGAATCTGAGTTGGAGAATACTGGGAAACAGTCATGGCTTGACTTGAAACATGTGTTCAATTTGCGAAGGTCTCGGGCTTCAACTGAAATCCAGAGAAAGCCGGTTAGGTGGCCCAGACACCTTCACAATGACAATCCCTTACTTAACTTACTTATCATGCTTCATAGGGTCATAGATCTTCATAGCATGCATTAACATGTGGAATATGTGGAACTGGGAAATCCGGGCCAGAGGCCTAGCACATGCTCTCAACACGAGGCTGGGTCCCATGAGCCCTGCCAGAAGTGTTCGGTCCAGAGCTGCTACTGCTATAAGTCCAGAGCTGCCCCAGCCGGGATCCCGAGAACTCTGAGAGAACTTTAGCCGAGAACTTGAGAAAAAAACATATGAATATGAACTCTTTAGGTTTTTTTATATGTAAGAACACTTTTTCTCTTTAAGAACTCTGGAAACTCGAAGCTTTGTCAAGCCATGAAGCCAGCCGCCAGGGTAAACAAAACAAGCATGGATAAAACATGGATATCTTTGGATATCCAGGGTAAGCGTCCGGTGGAAGATCCAAACTGCATATCACACGGCTGACATGAGACAACTCTACCTGGGCTCAAGACCAGCATCACTTCGTCGGGGCATGTGGAATTCTCTCTGACAGGAAACAGTGCAAATTGGTGAAAGATGCTGAATCCTTTTCAAGCCCGTATCTCTATCAGAGACATGGCCGACAGAGTGGGAGGCAGCCGGTCTTGAGTGAGCCTTCTGCTGAGGATAGACTTTTCTGCCCTCCGTCGTTTTATTTGTGCCACCCCACAGGAGCCTTGCATTGCTGGTGCCCTGCACCAAGTTTTCTCACATGTATAAGCTGTTGTTTGCTACAGAAGATACGGGCTGAAGGATTTCCATTGCACTTGCGTAGTTTTCCCGTGTTTTTGAAAAACTCTTCTTAGATGCACTTCCCACTTTTTCCCTCCAATTTTGTCCCTTTGTCTTTCTGCCTTGAAGCGGCCGTTTAAATGTTTGATTCAAGCTGCAGAGGAGCGTTCAGAAGCCTTTGGCAACGCATCAACGTTGCCTTCAGTCTTGCGAGCAGTCTTGCACAGGCAACACTTCCATGATGTTTCATGAGGATATGACTCGCGCATGTCACTTCAAAGGCCTCAAAAGTGGACTCTTGCTGGTCGAAATTCCGGCCGTTTTGATGTTTGCGGATTATATATTTAATTTGTTTTTAGTGAGATAGCATTTCAAGCTGTGAGCTTTCTGGGAAATCTACAAGTTCTCATTGCTTAGAACCACGCATGCCGATTCACGGCAATAGCAATGCAGCAATGCTCTGACGTTAGGCTCACTTCTGCCGAGTCTCGATTGCCTTTGCGACGTGGCTTTTTAGTGGCGGTATTTTGCTTCGACGTTTTGGGTGCCCGACACTCAAAGCATTCAGACAGCTGGTTGAAGATCTCAATTTGAACAGGGAAAGGGAGGAAAGGGGAGAGAGATGTGTAGCGAGACGGCCTCCTTAACTACGGACGAAGAGAGGACCACGACGAGATGGACCTCACCTCTTGACACGATGAGGAGAGAGAGAGGAGAGAGTAGGAGAAAGAGACCTCTAGATGAGGTGAGAGAGAGAGCGAGCGTATGCCGATGGGTAATCTGCCCATCGAACCAGGAAGTCAGAGAACGATGCGACACGACGACAGGCAAATCGAGGAGGAGACGAGGCGTACTAGCCGTGATGTGAGAGAGGAGAGAGAGGAGAGAGAGGAGAGAGAGAGGAGAGAGAGAGGAGAGAGAGGAGAGAGAGGAGAAAGAGGAGAGAGAGGAGAGAGAGGAGAGAGAGGAGAGGGAGAGTTTCGTCATTTGGATTTGCAATTGATTTGAATTGTGCATTGAGCTATCTTTATCATTCTTTATATATCTATTTAATCTATTTATCTATTTCGATCTGGTTCGCCTCGAAGGTCCGCTGTCGCCCCACTGCATTGCCTGC